AATTAGTATGGAGGCCATCGCTATTTGGTTGGAGGCCATCGCTATTAGGTTGGAGGCCATCCCTACTAGGATGGAGGCCATCGCTCTTAGGTTAGGCCATCGCTACTAGGTTGGAATAAGGAAGTCTCTATGACCTTTCAGATGTTTTTTGGAATGCAACCAGCCTTGGGAGTCTTTTTGATACCAAGCCTCTCAAGAAGATGTGCTGTAACATCATGTTGTTGGCTAATTTCCTGGCTCCTGCCTTGCTGATGACCGACTGAGCTTCGAACGCTTCGAATATCTTTGCAGATTCTACATCGATGTCAAGCAGATTCTGCATTATATTCCGGCACTGACTGCGTGCTGGTGTTTTGCCAATGCCCATCGACTGTCGCAGAATTGCGAGTAGCTTATCAGGCCCGTCTACGAAAAAGCCACGACACTGAAGACTGAGTTGTGTGGTCCTTTAGGAACACTTTGAATCACTTTGAATATGTTCTTTCCGAGCAGTCAGCCGGGGGCCGGCTGACAAGGCCACGTACAAAAGTCCTTGATCTATCATGAACTTGGCTCAAGAATAGCCCCAGGCTGTTTGAACTTAATCGGAGTTTAGACATCTGAATATTTAAGGGGTTGCTAACCCTCGTTGTCCTTTGCTTTCCATGACGAAACCAGGCGCGGGCTTTCCGTTGGATGTGGGGGCCTGTCTTTTTTTTTGAAAAGCTCAACGTCCCATCGTCAGGGTCCTTTGCAAGTCCCAAACCAATGCCGCATGCCCGGGCGCCTCCCATGCGGCTTAAGCAAAAATAACAATGTGATGGTTTAATAGTGTAAGAACAATGATGGTTCTTCGGCGAATTCAAGGGTCCATCACCGGGAAGCCGAAGCTGGGAAACCGGCTGGGATAGGAGGCTTTTCAGGGGTTGCTCGAAAGAACACCCTGCAGAGATCATTCGAACTTCGGTCTGGTGAAGCAGGGTTTGCTTAGGGAGACAACCAACTCAAGGCCAAAGTACGAAGAGTTCCTCTTAGTCACTGACCTGACAGCTACAGCTGTGCAGGACTATAGCCTCCACTAGCCATTAAAAAATGCGGAGTTGCTCACATTCATGCTAATTACTCTGACCATTCAAGCTCATTCTCCCCCATCTGCTTGCAGAGTCTTGCTCGCTCTGCCAGCCTGAGCCATCCCTCAGTCATTGCCTGCCACAATGTCACCACACCAGCCGGCGCGGTCAAAGATTTGGCTTCGATCCGGTTTCTTTGAGTCGACGAGAGGTGACCGAAAAGGATACCTTCCACTACCGAAGGGGTGGTGTTTGAAGAGAAAATGCGCAGGGGTGTCTACAAATATACTGTACCGGCTGTACGGACCCTTACCGTGGTGCTGGTTGTGTGTTGTTTTGTTTTGCGCGCGCATGATGTCAAACATGCTGCTTTTAGCAGGAGGCTCCGTTCATCTCCCTTCACACCATTTCACACCCCATTCCTCCAAAAAGGGACTGGTGAGAAACCCCACATCCCCAGACCCCAAATCAACAACATGATCGGACTCGAGGCTGGGTAGAAATGCCGGTGCGTCCTGCCCCACTCTCCGCCCGGCTGGGTCTGCAGGACTTTCGGCCTCTCCTGGCAGCGGTGAGCAACCATGTGCGATCATGAGAGCTGCTGTTGAAGCCATTCCTTCTGACAAGAGCGACACAGGTTCCTTGCTCGCAGAGTGATTCTGCCGTCTAGTGCAATGATTTGTAGCCAGGATGTAAATTTCAAATAATTTCAATGTTCGTGAATGTTGTAGAACATTCCTAGAAAGCCGAGTACCCAAAAGAACGTGTTTTCACGACACATATCACATGGGTATACCTATCCAATTGTTGTGGCCCAACGCTTTTGAAGGCAAGGGAAAAGACAGGGGACAGAGACCATCAGAGACATCCAAAACTGAAAACTGGTCCAACGGGGTCGATGAAGCGGGTCCATTCCAAGCAGTGGATCACCTCGAACTTTTCTGTGGGAATTGGAGACACCCCACTTCACATGGACAGCTGGACAGCTCAGTGGACGACAAAGTCTCGTCCCCCCAAAAATCTCCACCCCCAACAGCGGAGCCCGATTTTGTTCCGGTTTTCTGGGCTCACCCAAAGTGCTGCAGCCAGCTCAGCCAAGAAAACGCCGCCGAGGTGCTGAGCTGGTGAGCCACGCTCTCTCGGAAGCCGCCCGCTCGAACCGCCGCGTGCACCGGCGCGTGCGCTTGCCGGCCTACGCGGTGGGCTCCGTGCTCATGGGTTTGTCCATGTGGTGGGTCCGGTGCCTCAGAATGGACTCGAAGATCCTCGGTGGGCTCGGGGCTCGGAAAGTAGATGGAGGTCCAAATCGAGAGAGACCTAGTGAAATACAGGGTTTAAGATGGTCTAATCGAAGTATGATAAGGTTACTCTGGGGTCACTAGAAGACGTGCTTTCAGAATTGGACTCATATATATCTATAAATGGGCAGAAGGATTCCCAAGCCTGGTGGGGACGGGGCCATGGTGGAGCCTGGGCGGTGTGCCGATCGGTGTGCCAGTCGACCCGTTTCGTACCCGAACCTGGTCATCCTCCCTTCATGGCTTCGTGCATGTATTTTGGTCTTCCGGCCATGGTCCGGAATGGCGGCGTCTCCTTATTCTACTACACACCCACATGACCCGCACGACCTCCCCCAAACAGCAGGTCGGCCTCACGCCTCAGAGGCGTTAGGCCCAGAAGTCCGGTCGTGCTTCCTTCGAAAGACATCACAGGCATGACCACCCAAAGAGACACGACCAGGACCTGGACCCAAGGTTCCTGGGTGGTTTTTGGACACCCCGATATCACAGGGAGACAGGAGCTTATTGATAGACACCCCGACAGGAGGGTCCTGGAACATACTTGTGCACCTCAGTACCGCCAGCATGTCGTAAGGAGACAGCCTGAAAGATAGGAAACACGTCATAAACTCATACCATGTCAATCCACTCTCATTCGGCTTCCAACACCCATCACCCATAACGGCCCCCCAGATTCCTCTTCACCACAGCGACTGAGGTCTACACCTCCTGGACCTCTCAAGCTGCCGCCTTCCTGCTGATCCGCGACTGCCTTCGCTCCTTTGGATGCTTGGCGTGGCTCTGCGCGGTGCTTCCATCGGATCGCTTCGGTTCCAAGGCTCTCCCAGGTGGGGATGGGCCACGTGGGGATGGGCTGGGCCGAGGTGGGGTTGGACTTTTTAGGTGAGATGAAAGATGAAAAGAAGGAAAAGCTGTGGGTGCAAGAACCAAGAGAACCAAGTGGAACCAGTTCAGGGGGGAACCGGGGTGTCATCGATGCGATCTTTCTCTTTGCATCTCTTAGTGCTCAGTCAGAGAGGTTGCTAGTCAGAGAGTATTGGACCTGACTGTTGGATGATGTGTGTAAAGTAACATACGTCATCTCATTACAGTACTGACTTTAAGTAGATCTGGACTTTGATGTTGTTTCTCGGAGCACGAGGCGTTCCCTTTTTTCCTTTTCGTTGTCAGGTCGGTTCCATTCTTCTCTTCATCCTTGGAGTGAAGTGTGCCATTTGGCATACTCAGACATTGGTGGATTATATGAAGCAACTCCCTGAGCATGGCGAAGATGGACAGCCATGCCTGGTTGAGGATGAAGAGACTGATTGTGTCTTAGGCGGGCCGAGCCAGTGGTATACCGTATTATACCGTCAAGAAAAGAAATCGCTGGACTGAGGGCAAGATGGATGCTGGTAAACCCCATACCTGGAGCCTAAAGGCAACTATACCTGCTTTTAATATATAGGGGCGTCTTTCATTTTCTAGGGTACTTGAAGTCGGGTCCAGGTACAAGACTTCATGTTTTGCGAATGGAAAGGAATCAAGGAATCAAGCCCAAAAGAGTTCGAAATCAGGTGCATTCACCATCGGGAGCATCTCGATCATGTACATCCTTATGCAACTTGGATGGCAAAAGGCCGGAAGTTTAAACGCAAAAGGTCGGGGTCTCAATACAGTTTTTGGGCCATCCAGAGTCTTTAAGGTTTTCATTGTTCATTCAGCGACGATTCTTGGACCAGAATGTCCATCATGTCCAGAGAGGTCCGGGATTTGACTGGCAAGACGTACTACCAAGCTGCATGATGCATTTGATGCATCAGATGATGCATCACTGCTTCAGCAAACTGACTCAGGCATCTCTGGCAGCTACCTTATTTGGCCTTGGGTTTGCGTTTGCCGTCCCGGGCTACCGTGCACCGTTTGTGGGTGGGTCTTGCCCTTTTGCACCTCACCAAGGCGACGGGGGTGGCACGTGCGGTTGAGTTGCGTCCGAGCCAAAACACAGAACCTTTCGGACCACCACCTTCTTTTCCATCAGATTCCATCACACTCTTGACTTGTCACCTTCAGATCAGTCCGAACACCAGGGAACAGAATGAAGCAGAACAGAACGAAGATGATGGAAGTGCTTGACTTCAGATGGCTCCTGAAACACCTCGTTTTTCTCAGAATTGCCACGGAATCCACCGATCAGGGCTTGACCGATTTCCTGGTCCTGCTACCAGCAATGGCTGTGAAGGCCGGGTCCCCAGCACGGGGACGGGCCGTCCCAAAAGAAAAGAGTCAAACACGAACAAGTTTGGACAAAAAAAGGGCTGGCCGAGTGTATAGTTCTTAAAGACTGGGTCAGACTGGGTGTGATGGTTTCAGATGTTTTCTATTTTTTTGTTTTTTTTTCCTCTTTAGCTGCAATGATTGATCCCACACACAAAAGATGTTCCAAATGAGTAGAAACAATCACCAAAAAAGTTCATCCCGGTTCATCCCTGTTCTTTCTCAACAACTTTCGTTCACACCTCCTCCCACGTACTGGATTGAGAGATACTGATCATACGGATCAGAGTTGTTGCTCAACGTTCTGCCTGTTGCCGCTTGCCCTTTTGTAACACGGCTATCTCAAATGCGGAACTAGGTGGTGGATGGTGGTGCTTTCGGATATTTGTTCAACCTGTACTTGGAGTTACTTCGGGTGATCAAACCCTATTGAACCCACTGACTACTGTAAATGCAACATGTTATGTTTCAAATAAGTTGAAACAACCACACCTTGCGCCGTTCGTGAACCAGGCCTCGTGGGGGAAGACGATGCAGCTTGGCAGTCGGCGGGAATCGAGTTTTGGACAGCCAGTTTGGTGAAAGTACTCAGTTGAAACTAACAAGGAAGTCATGGATGATGGCCTGGCCCCTTCTTCTGGAAGACCAAGTTCCAAATACCAAACAGGGGGGGAACTGCATATTAAATCCAAGGAGAGTATATGACAGAATGAGCAGAACAACATGCTGGTTGCTTTCATTCACACGTGTGTGTGTGTGTGTGTGTGACCATGTGGGTACAGTACACCCGTACCCTGGTAAAAGTAGCCACACCAAGCGGCTTTTCGCAGGTGAGTCTCTTTGCATCGATGGCAGTTTCGGGATGAAAGTATCTTTGTGGAAACCAGAACCCTGCTTCTTCCCAACTGAATCCCCCTATCTTGCCAATTTCGGAATCGGCACGTTGATCCTTCTGACGGTCAAAACGGGGGAGACTCTTCTCATCTCTTCTCTCTTCTGGGCCTGCGGAGCTGAGATCTTGGGCCGCGGTGATGTGTTGCTTCGCCCATGGCTTCTACGGCTTGATTGTAGGCACCCGAGGGAAGTGAGAATTGATGGGAGCGTAAACCGCGTTCAATGAGCATATGAACTATCACTGCTGATGTGGATACTAGTGCATCGATGTTTGATCTCATGTCACTCTGGCAAAGTTGCTATACTTACTTTCAGGGCGCCCTAGGAATCGAACCACCATTGACTCAATAGCAAAATATCATTGTTTTACCAAGGATTTTAACATAACCACAACAACCAGAAACCAAGGGTTGTTCGTTCCAATATGGCACTTGAAAACGACATAGAACACCATCCTCCAAAAGGCCAGGAGTTCTAAAAAGTTGGTCAGTGGCAGCCGAAATCTTCTCCATCCGCAGCGTTTCTTCCTGCGGCCGCTGACAGTTTTAGCACAGCCCAAATCAGGTCCAATTCGCTCACTTCGCTCACAATTCGGGTGTTTCAGGTCAAAGATCGTTTAAAACATAGAATGGCCGCTGCAGGCATCTTTCAAGGCCAGGGATCACATCGTGCCTCGTTTCGCATCGTTGAAATGATCCCTGGTTTCGGCCAACCGGACCGAGTGGTCGACTGCCAGGAAGCTTGTTGATGAAGTCCTCAGTACGGCGCTGGGTGCATTTCCAGCTGCTGAAAGCCTCAGGTGCCAGCGGTGTTTTTTCACCCGGATAGACATGATAGACCGAGACCCACACGGAACTGGGCATGGCATGGACCCCGCCAGGAAGACGAATGCTTTCTCCGCGTTCAGCAGTGAGTTTTTCAGGTTCCATGCGGGGTCTCGGAACCAGGGCGTCTTTGTGAGGCTGGTTTGGATGAGGCTCTGAGGATCTCTGAGGGGGCCCTGAGGAGCAGCTTTTTGTGGAAGTGATATGAAGTGATCAGAAATCCAATGTCACAGTCTAACAGCCTTACTGACCATGTCGTGAGGAGTTGCTTGTGAGATTCACATCAGGTGCCTTCAAAGCTGCTTCCAGCATTGCTGGCTTCTTGGGAAATCGCTCCAAGGTGAAACCGCGTACTGCGCGTCGCTTTCTTCCGCGCCTCTTAGCGTCGGCTTTGACCGACCGTGTCGTTGCTTTAGGCTGTGACCGTTTCGTTGTTGGCCCTCTCCTTGACTGTTGAAGGTGCTTGGATGAACTTGACGATCCGATCATCCGAACCGATGACCGTTCGCATGTTTGGGGAGAGGCCAAGCAATAGCCATTGGGTACAATGCGGATGCAAAGCATGTCAGGAGAAGATCATGGAATCTGCTCGCAACGCGTGCCGCTACATTTCCATGGGAAAGATCCTCAAGGCTGACATGGCAGGTGGGGACGACCATCCGAGACATAAATGAATCACGCAGCGTGAAGAATGGGTGTCCTTCAGCAGGGAGACCTCTTATTCAGGTCTTGGGACCCCCCCTCAAAAAAAACGAGTCGACGAGTCTACCCAGCCAGGTGCGGAGTCTCCCTTTGTAAAATACCCAATTCTGCTGTTCCTTTTGTCCCGCGGCATGTTGTCATGGGTGTGTTTTTGGTTTGAGTGCTTGGGCGTCCCAGCCCTTTTCTCGCGAAACTTGGGAAGCTCCTGTGTTTTTTTTCCTCTGATTTGAGTTCATCAACGCAAAAGTAGCCAAAGTTCACATTGGTTTATAGTGATCCAGTGATCCCCAAAATAGATAGTGGCACGGTGTCCAATACCTTTTCTACGTGGGGATCTACTTTTCTATCTATGACTGGGGGGGGCAAACAACTGTGAGGTGTTGGTTTTCATGGCCGCTTCAGCGGCCCTGACCGCCCCAAGACCGCCCCAACATGCCGGTCCGGTCGATCCGCGTTGGCGCCAGATCCGCGACCCAATGTGTTGTTGCAAGCCTTGTCTACACCCTGTGGGCTGCAGGAGATGAAGACTTGCCATCCTGAGATGTTCTTTTTCTCAAGAAAAGATGAAGCGAAAGAAGAACGAAAGTAGAAAGACAGGAAGCATCACACCAGACAACGCTGCTGCTGCACCAGTTGTAGAGTCTTGCTCCAGACTCCAAAGGGCCTGGGGCCTAGGGCTTGGAACATGGTCTTCTGATCACGCAGTGCTTCCCAAGACTCCAAAGCATCGACTGAAGGATGTTTCTCGATGCGACACATCCCACGACCTTGCGCGCACAACGTGGGTTTGGAGGACATCGATGCTTTCTTGAGCCACAGCTGGCATGATGATCCTGAAAGCAAATGGGAGGCCAGCTGTGGCATCTTGTACACATGAAGCAGCTTTTGGCCTGCTTCCGCAGGCTGTCAAGTCAGTTAGAGTAAGTCTAGAGACCGCCTCTGATTGGTGATTCATGGGTTGCAAAGAAAACATAGTGGATCTGGTGTCCGACACTTGCCTTCCAACATCGCTTCGATGTGTGAGTTGTTGGAGGCTTTGCAAGCATGGAGGACAGCTTTTAAGGCCGGCACAATGGCGCACATGGTGGGATTGGATTTTGTGTGAGGTAGCTTTGAAGAGGCGCCAGAAAGTGCTGTGTTGTAGGATGCTTTAGGTCTCCGGTCTCTCGTTTTGTCACAACTTGTTCAGCTGGGTTGTCGAGCTTCGACCCACAATGTAGTCTAGCCATTCTGCAGGTCATTGGAGAACCTGTACAAACTCAACAGAATTGAAGACTGTATACAGCAATCCCCTCCCCAGGTTCCTCAGAATTGATTTATATATTAGTGAATTTAGTGATGGATTCGTTGGAGGGGAAACAAAGACTTGACAAGGAGCAGAACAGCTTCAGGAGTACGTTCACCATGAACAGATCCAGAATATCTTGTTTGGTCCCGCATGTCTTCAGGCGCAACATCAGCGTGAACCCCGCCTGTGGATTGACAAGTATTGTATTGACCAGACCGACATCGAGGCCGATAGTTTGGGGAGGGTCCAAGCTGACTGCCGTAGAGGGAGCTTCTCTAGCCAGATTCGGTGCCAGATTGTTCAGAGAGCTCGTTTCTCGTTTCCGAAAGCTGTTCTCAGAGACGTCCTTCGAAAGCATCCAAAAGCTAACTTCTTGGAACCACCAATCATCACCGTTTGTAGAGAAAGATAGAAAGTGGTGGTTTAAGCAGCCGAAAGAGACCCCGCTTTTCTAGCTAGATGTAGATCCGGCGCGAGTCTGCAAACATTGGCAGGCGAGTTTGGTGTGTTTGCCAGTGTATTTGGCATCCTGCCACACCTTACTCATCATCGCCGGATCCACCTTCTTGCATCGTCTTTGGTGCATGGAGGAGGCTGGGTTGAGCACCACATGATGTGATATGTTATATTTATAGAACATTATAGAACTATAATTTTCTGATGTGTGTGATGTGTGAATAAAGTATGTAGAATTATGCTCGAATATTGCATTGTCAATGCCATCACGACATAAAGGCAATCACAAATAAATGTTGGATCAACGTTGGAGTATATCAAAAAGTGATGACGCTAAGGACAAGGAGGACAATATTGTAAAGATAAGTGTTAGTGTTAATTTGTTCTAAGGTTAGTCTTGGAAAATTGGGACATCATAGAGAAGCAACCAACTCAAAGAGCGATATACCAGCTCATGAAACTCCAGAACCAGCAGTTCAGGCATTTATCTCGAAGTTCAGGCTTCGGGCAAAGTGGGCAAAGTAATCAATAAGTGGTTTGAATGGATTGTTTAATACCCTAAGAATCATTGGACCCTCCTATGGAGGGTTTGGACCCTGCAAAGCAGGGGTTTGGACCCTCAAAACCTTCACCTTTGAGGGTCCTTGATTCTTAGGGTATTAAGTTTTTATGTGTTGATGATTGAGGCCTTGATGTGATGTGTGAGTCAAACCCGGCTTCCGAGACCGGCAACCGGGCGACCGGCGGAGCTGCAAGGGAGACGACAGCTTCCTCTACAACCCGACCGTGGTTTTAAGGTTCTATATGTATCTTCCAGGGTGGTGTGTTTATTTGATGACGTAGTTTTGTAGTTTGAGCAGATATTGGAGCACGAGACAACTTTCTTGAGCAAAACAAGCACAATGAACATGTCATTGCAACATATTGCAACAGGATACACACAACAATTGAAAACAGTTCAGGAAAAAAAGTTGCCTTTCAACACCATAGTTTTTGAATTACCGCAGACTCTTAAATACACAAGGAGAGAAGGAAACATCAGACTAATTATTTTAGAAATGCTACCTATTAAAATGCAATAGAGAAGGTGTATTTTGAACACACTACCGATACAAGTGGTTCTAAAGATTAAGTAAACATAGTAATAAACAAACATGAATAGACAAACATCCAGGTTAGTCAAGATGGATTCCGTTTTATCGCTGCCAGCCCACTCTCCAGAAAGAGTCAGGTGAAAAGCCACCGGTCAGACAAAGATTGGTAGCTTCTTGTTCCTAGTAGTAAGAATGCTCCTAGTAGCGATGCCAGGAGCCCCTAGTAGCTTCTTGTTCCTAGTAGTACGGCCAAGGAGCCCCGTTCGTAGCGTCCTTGCTCCTTGGGCCGCAGTCACTGAGGTCTTCGTGTTCCTGCAGATGAATCGCCCGCTAAATGCCATGGAAGTGTTGCCCATTTGCGATGATATGGAAGAGCGCGCGTCCAATTTCCGTGTCCAGGCGGGCGAGCGCATAGCACCTGGCCACCTGGCACCAAGCCTTTGGCGGCCACATGGCACCGAAAAAAATACTTGTAGTAACGATGGCCTGCAACCTATTAGCTTCTTGCTACTAGTAGTAATGGCCTCCAACCTACTAGCGATGACCTCCAAACTATCACACTCAAGAGCCATGTAGACTCTCCTCAACTCGCATCAGAGATAGTCTGTCGAGAATGCGGCCAGGATGCCAGTTGCTCCCTCGAGAAGGATCGTGAAAAGATGTTGGCCACCGTTGAGGCGTGAAAAACACCCGGCAAATTCTCCGCGTCCACCAGCGCGCAAACACTTCCGGCGGGTGGAAATCCCATCCCAAGAAACCCGCCACCGACACGTCCGGCGGGGCCAGTTTGGAGACACATCGTGACATTCTTCTGCCTGCTCAGGCAGGCTGCGAGAGCTATGAAGTCTTCAATGACAAAGTCCGTGGGGCCCTTTTGGCAGCGCTGAAGTCGTCCAAGAACACTGTCTAGAAGCGCCAGCAAGCTCACGCATGACGCGTGGCAGGCAGGTCTTTTGTTTGCCGACGTTTAAAGCTTCCAAAGATCACACATTCCAAGACTCATGAAAACATAGATCAACACCCGCAATGGAGACACGTGGGGCCTGAGGAGTCGACGATGGTCCGAAAAGACTTGAGCGGAAAGTAGAAATGCTTTTCTTTTGGACCACAAGACTATCACAAGATATCACAAGATCCGAGTTAAGGAATTCTGGAAATTCTATTGGTTTTAAAGGGAGGTGATCAACAAAACAACCTCCAACGAACCGTAAAACAGGCATTCCTGGAACCTTCGTAAGGGCGAGCTGAAATCACTTTCTTTCCGACTCTCTGAAGCGAAATGTGTTGAGGAACAATCAGGGGTTCCCATGTCCAACCAACTTCCAACCTGAAGAATCACAGGTCATCCAGCACATGACCATGGCTTGAACAACTAGAACAGACATGGCTGTTTCATTTCTAGGTGAAAGCCGTGAGTGCCGCACAGATGTCGGTCGATGTGTCTGTCTGCAGACACGTCCACGTCGTGCGGAGTTGCTGCCGTTCTCGACTTTTTACTTTCAAAACAATAAAACAATAACAACAGGGGATAGCTAAGCTAGCTAGATTGATAGGATCGGCTCCTTCATATTGAACGAGATTCCGAAAATGTGTTTGTTGTCCAGAAAGGACTGTTATGTTATTGTTTCAGGTACAAAAGGTGGAAATGCTTTCAGAAGGGTTCATGCTTTTAACTTGAAGCATTTTATGTATAAAGAGGTCATCTATGACACTTCCGCAAAAGGAAGAAAAACATGAAAACATCCACCACAAAAATCAGACCATAGATTGCAGCTCCCCCCGTTATACAAAAGTACCCAAGGTCTGGGACGTATTGGCGGTGTGTTGCTCAGATCTTGGTGTTGTTTGGTTTTTTGGAAGGCCACACAGTAAGCAAAAGGATATTTGTTTGTTAAAAAATAACATACAATATACCCAAAATTGAGACAACTAAACTATTGGGTTTAATAGTTTTCTTATTCTTACAGCCACATTATGGTGCTGGTTCCAATGAAGGCGACGTGACTTAGACGATCAAGCAAGCCCACGTGAGAGTGGAGATGGTCGGAATTCGCTGTGTGCCGTCTTGGACGTGAGAAACCGCCAGCTCAGACGTGCATGCTTGTATGGTGCTTGCATAGTATCTGGGAAGCAATGTGTCATCGGACAAGCCACAGACCTAGAAACCCTTGTTCCTGATATTTTTAGTGGTAAGTGGGATCCACTGGTTACAACATTCTCGCACAGAATGAGGTCCCCCAGAAATCGGCCTACTCGACCAACAGTCGGTTCTTCCTGGATAGCACCCACCGTTGTTGGTGGACCTACAGAGAGACGTGTCTCCTGCCTTCTGTTGGTGTTGTTGTCTAGAACATCCTGCATCTGCAGGGGGCGGGTAAGCAAATTAGTTTTCTTTATATGGCAGTTGCACCCAGCATGCCACAGATGCACGACAATCCTGAATACAGGCTTTGAATGACGCCACGGTGTAAAGGTGTCAGCCCTTTAACAGGAACCCGCCAGCCAAACATGTGATGATCGAAGATGACAGAGAAGCAAGCCACAATAGCAACGACTCAGCGGTGGCTCCTGGAGGGCAGACGACTGTGGTGAGTGTTTCAAGGTGTTTGAAGCAACCTGATGCCTTACAGATGATATGAGGGTTCGTCAAAAGTGGTCATCCGGGCATACGGGTTGATTGGATATACATGTTTGAGCAAAGTGTGCAAGAAGGTAATATAGTTTTGTTATGTTGTGCGCCATAGGAGAAAATCAGCAGATGATAAGCTTTTGACAACCCTTCAAGTAAATCCTCAGAATCTCGAGGATTTTACTTCAGGGCGGGCTTGATCTTCCCATTTTTCAACTGGAGCGACAGAACAAGCGCCGCCGACATCAGGACGCTGAGTTACCCTCAATTTCAACGATCATGCTGAGTGAGTCCTCGCAGATCAGAATGTTCAAAGCATGTTGTTGATGTGCCTTGTGCATGATCTCTTTGCCCTTCCGGACGACATGGACTCCACATGAGAGTGGAACTCAGACTTCCTGCGATGAACGCTTGTTTTGAATGCTGCATAAAGTCGAAGACCCTTCTCCCACCATGGAGGTGACGCTTGTTTGGAAACGGCAAGAAAAAAGTGAAGATGCTGAGGGCCTGACCTCGCTGCTTAGGACCTAGTAGCGATGGCCTCCACCCTAAGAGCGATGGCCTCCAACCTACCAGCGTGGGCCTTCATTCTAATAGCGATGGCCTCGCTGATTCAGTCACTGCTTCACTCGGTCCTTCCAAAGCAGACTGCTGAGACTGCACCGCGCCTGATGAAGCGACCGAGTGTCGGCTCGAGACGGGCGAGTTTTTTCTCGCACCGGCCAGGCACGGTAAACTTGGAGGAGTCACAAGTCTGGATGTTTTCCTCATGTTTAACCTCTTGTTGGGAAAAGGATCTCGAGAAAGTCATATTGGAACAACCATTCATTTGTGTTTGGGAATCGTCAGTCCCCTTCATCTTTGGCTTGGCCTGCTTGCTCCACACTGAACCAAGGAGGTCGGAGGAAGTGGGATTCCCTTTAGGATGTACTCGAAACTGGCACCTTCCGATACCTGAAAGCATGGACGAGGGATGTGCAAAACTCTAGACATCCATACAGTACTTACATGAAGAGCTTTTCAATGAAAGGAGCTGACTTGTCATCCAGCTTCGCAATCATTATCTCGCCCCCATGAAAGAATAGACTATATAAGGTTCCTGAAAGGTTTTGTAGCGCTCGCAGGAATTCAGCATCCCCAGAATCAAAGACCCTGTTCAAAGACCCTCTACTACTACTACTACTACTACTACTACTACTACTACTACTACTACTGCTGACTACTACTGACTACTACTACTACTACTACTACTCCTACTACTACTGACTACTGACTACTGACTACTGACTACTGACTACTGACTACTACTACTACTACTACGACTACTACTACTACTACTACTACTACTACTACTACTACGACGACTGCCACTGCCACTGCCACTACCACTACCACCACCACCACCACCACTACCACTACGACGACTACTACTACTACCACCACCACCACCAGCACCCAAAAAGAGGATCTGACAGCTTGAGTGGGCAAGCACAAGTAAATAAGGAAGGAAGTAAGTAAGCAAGTAAGTAAGGATGTGGGTGTGGAAAAGCATTGAAACATGTCAAAAACACGTGGGAAACATGGCAGGGATGAGTAGGGTAACTGTCCAGTTGGTGCTAAGAACACCCAGAATCCGAAAAGTTGTTCCCTGTTTACCCAGTTCATTTTTTGCAGCCGAGAGAGCCAAATCTCGAAGGCCACGGGCCGTGCGAACGGCCCAAATCTTGTAGCCCTTTGACGAGGCTGGGAGTGCCACAGGGGTCCGTGTTTCTTGTCACGTGTGGTTTTTGAGTTTGAATTCAACATATGCAGACACAAAAAAAAAGGTTGGAAGTCCTGGAGCTCCAGTTTGGTCCTTGGAAGTCCTGGAGCTCCATTTTCATACCCTTGGTATCAGGTCATACACGTGAAACGAGTGCTGGAGCAGCAGGTGTACGAAGCACAGGGTTTCACCGATGTTTTTCTCGTACCAGCCAGATATTTGGAGGTTCTTCCAGTTTGGGACAAATGGCCGTTGAGGGTATATAAACCGTTTTAACAGCAAGAAGACACCCCGAATCATCTATATATCAGGCAGCAGGAAATGTTTGCACAGCAACGGAGAGCGGATCTGAAGATCACAAGTCGAACAGGGTAATAGATCAACACAAAAAATGAACTGTCCAAATAATCGGATCAAGCAATGAACTCTTTTGTCTCCTATTCACCGTGGGCTTTTGTGGGACGCCAAGGGTCACCCAAGTATCATTGTTCTGGTGTTCTGCATGTTATCCTGATGTCGGTTGGAGGCCATCGCTAGTAGGTTGTTGGCGTATCGTCAAGTCCGTCCAAGTTTGCTCACCGCATCTTGGAACCAATGGATTTCTAAGGTCGCAGCTTCACGTTTCATCCTGGAGAAGATTTTTTATCGGGAGACCAAAACAGGACGCAGGCTTGAAATAGGCTCGACATTGAAATGCTACAAATTCTTTTCGGGTCAGAACTTGGTTGTCTCAGACCAGGTCCTTTTTGGATCTTTTTGGTACAAATCCTCCTGAAGCAGTCATGAGGGGACTATCATGGGGACATGATGCCCCATGATGCCAGGGTTTTTTCAGTTGGTTCTTTTGGTGGGATTTATCGGGTTTTTCGTTTGGCCAGGAGCGGCTGATAGGCCAGGAGCGGCTTCCAACAAAACTCTTCCGATTGGGAGATTAAGGACAATTATGTGTTTAGATCACACCATCATTCAACGACAACGATTCCCACAGTGGTGTATTTGAACATACTATATCAATACCAACTAGACCTTCACGCCAACTATATAATTGAATTGAACATGTCTTGTTCTTGTTAACCTTTGATGGACTATTCCTGTTTGTTCCCCTACAAAGATGGATGGTTTCAGGGGTTCGTCATGTGGCCCTCTGTGCGCCGACTCAAGTCAGCCGTCTCGAAGCGCGAGCGCAGTTGGCGTTCATCTGAAAGGGCCATTCGTTGGTCAAGTAGGTTGGTTCGGTGCATGGTTCGATGTGGCGGGTCATGGCACGATGCACGATGCATGTGTGTGTGTGTGTGCGTTGCCTTCCTCAGTGTAAACACCAAGGAACAGGGTGCTCAAGGTCATCTGAAGGTTATGACAGCTGGGCCCCATGGATGCAAGAAGTGGCCTGCCCCATTGCCCCATCGCTTTTCACATGTTGCGTCTTAAAGATTCCATTTCAATGCCCAACAGTCGTGCACGTCAGCTGGACGCGAGCTGGTAGTGCAACATAATCTGATCACTGATGCCGACTTGAATGTAAAATCCGCCGTTCCCGCGCCCATCTGTGCCCATGGGTACTCGATGTTTGGTGGCATTGGGCTTTTGGCTGGCCACGAGCACGTCAGCGAAGCGGCTCCTGGTCCTAACGAGTCTGAAAATCCTAACGAGTCTGAACAAGCCTCAGTCGCATCAGTTGCTTTCGAATCGAAGTCCACCCCTTCAGATTCAGCTGAGGCGCTTTGGCTATCCTGGCAATCCCAACTGCTGGGGCCTGGGCTATGACTTCTTCTACTGCTGCGAGCCTCGCCCCGTGATGCAAAACAGCTGCTGGAAGGACGGGGCACGATGGCATGTGTTTGCGCATCAAGCTGGGTTCCCCAACAGCCAGTCTCGGATTTCCGGAAGGCTTGAAGAGCCCAGTTTGCAACGTCCAAGCGCACCAGTGAGACATCAGCTAGCCAATATAGATAGAAGATGATAGAAGCAAGAGTCCTTTGGGTTTCTAGTCTATGGTGTTAGTCTTTGGAATCACTGGTAAGCTATTAGCCCGCTGGATTCACTGGGTCTCTGAGAGCATGATTCTGAAGCGACAGGAGTAGAACCTGGCTATGCCTGGCTGCCCACCCACTACGTCGGTCTGTTTCGGCATTTTCAGGTCCGTCGAAACATCCCTTCAGCACGTGACGAGGACGGATATTCCTTCAGCGACTGCTGCTTCACGGAGACTGAGCCAGTTTGGGGTTATCCTGGGAATGAATCATGTTGGGACGCCAGCGGGCTGGATTGGCACCACTGCTGCTTACCTGGAGCATGCATCCTGAGGGAAAGGGGAAGATTCGGGCGACCTGCCACATGTTTGGTGTGAAATCACAGGAGTCTCCTCATCCTTTGTTTCAGGTGATCTGAAGATTTTGAATCCCACTATAGGATTTTGATACGCAAAATCCTGGGTATCCGCCTTGGCTGCCGGTAGCCAGGGGGGATCTTTTGAGGAGTTTGGGTCTTGTAGCTCTGAAGACTGCACGACCCCATGACTACCCATGACCCTGCCTGGATATTGGATCCACCCTGCTCGGGTCTTGGTGGTCTGCTGGATTGCCAGTCTATTGCTGGTTTGTTGCTAGTTTGTTGGTGATTTGCTACAGGTATGCACGACCTTTTTTGTTCCCTCTTTACTTCTACAAACCTACCTACCTACCTACCTGCATCTCACTCACCATTCAAGTCAAGCAGACTGGGCACACCTTCACAGATTGTAGGCAGGTGGACAGTTCTAGGGATTCTAGGGCCTGGTAAGCTCCCCTCATTGATAGAGTTTGGATCATTCGCATGACACCCCATGAGACTGGCATATATATATATAACCCAAAAAAATCATGTGCCAGGCCCCTTGTTTGGATCGTGTTTGGGTTTTGGGGGGCCATAGCTTTTTGGTTGCCGAGGCTGTGGCGAGCGATCAGGCCCCGCGTGCTGGACGCAGGGTCGAAGCTTCCAAAGCTGTTGCTTCCGCGACGTGGACGCCGGGCGTGAGAACGAGCACCAAAAATCGCCGATTGATCGAGTGGTGCAATACCCGGGCAACCCGGAGTGCTGGGACTATGTCTTTGACTTCAACATCTGTTGCAACGAACGTTTGCGTGCTGAGGACATCATGCATTTCTGCTGGGACGAGCGGCGCACCTTCGACAAGTGTTGCTTCCGGGCGGTCCCTCAGGGTGAGGGAACTGGCTCGGGCACCTACCTGGCTAAGCTAGCACATAGTGCCTCAAGCAATGCCAAGGGCGTGGAGGAGTTTCTGCAACTGGCACACTCCATCCTACCGGACGGCCAGCCGGTGTCCGACATCGTGGCTGGAGCCTTTATTCCCTCCAAAGGCGGACGTTTGCATATTCCCTTGGGCATTTACCTGTCCCCCTTGCGCGACCTCCCGATCAAACTCCTCGAGATCGGCTTGGGTTGTGGCACTGGAGATGTGGAGGACGTGTCGAAGGCGGACGACTTCTGGGCAGGCTTCATGCAGTCGGAGACCTGGTGGTTTTGCTATGTTTTGCTGAGGTTTGTTGGGGATTGGATCCCCTATAGTGCTCAATCCCCATAGCTGGTGAATATTGCCCTAATCATTCGGAGCAATCCCCTCCAAAGAGCTGGTGAAGATGATTGTCCTGCTTATTGAATCCCTGGTGAATCGTTTACATATGAGCCACGTCGCAAAGGATGCTAGGATTACAAAGCCATTTCCAATAGGTTTTCGACACAGCACCTCTTTGCACCGGGACACTGGACAGCTGCTCTGGTCCGTCCCAGGAGAATGTCTTTCCGCCCGGAGGCGGCATGCAGATCTGGCAGCGCTGGTTTCGGCATCCCAAGGCTCAGCTCTGGTCCGCCGAGTTCGATCCCAAATGCGTTTCCAATGCCAGGAAGGCTGGGCTGAAGTTGAACCTCTTGATGGGCGACCAATCCAAGCCTGAAACCGTACAAAGCTGGGTTCAGCAGGCTGGTGGGCATTTTGACGTGGTGATAGATGATGCATCACATGCGAACGAGGCGATCCGCACCTCATTCAACATCTTGTGGCCACACATCCAGCCAGGGGGCCTCTACATCATAGAGGACTTGATCTGGAACCGGAATCCGCGTGCACAAGGCCAATTCAGCCAAACTGCGAAGCCTTTCGTGGACTCGATTAAAGATTGGATTGACCAGCTTCTGATCGACCCTTTTCAGACGGGTGTCAATGAAACTTGGCGCGCCTCGCTACTGGAGGTCATGCACAAGCGCTCCCCAGAGTCTTTGAGCAAGACGAACCTCTACCGCGTCGATGACCCGCTGCCGATTGGCGTGCAGTTCATCAACTGCTTCCCTGGCATGTGCATCATTGGCAAGAAGGTGATCCAGAGCACCTTTGAGAATCCCTATTTGAAGCAACCTCGCTGATGGCGTCAAAGTCATCGCATTTGGCGCGGAAGCTGGCGGCAAAAGTGTTGCTTCATCACTTGCACAGGAGCGATGTTTCATGTTTCATGCATGTTTGCACCATTGTCTGGAAGCCGGGTTTGCATTTGAGTGGCCAATTCAGGAAAATGGCCAGCACCCGCCAGCACCACGGCAAGGGTGGTTTGTGACATATAGACACCCCTGATGATATGTTCCAATACCCACCCGAACTAGGTCCTTAGGTGCTGTTGTAAGTGTTCTTGAGTCAGACACCTTGCTTTGCAGCGAATCCGAGCGGTAGCGCCTCCAGGTTGCCTTCTTCGAGAGGCCAGGAATCCGGTCAACGGGACACCAATGCACAGACATATGGGGATGGGTCGTTTAATCCATGTTAAACCTGGAGCAGCACCAGTCCATGTAGCGAACGGTTGACCCACAGCCATATCATCATAGTATCCTATCAATTCATATGTCATAATGTAGACTCTTGATTGATAAACCCTCTCCTTTGAATTGGACATGCTCTTCATATGGGGGGGTTATTAATCAAGAGTCTACATGATGTCATATGATCATACCTGGATCTTCAAGCTGTACAGAATTTCTGCCCCCTGGTCGAACTCATTTGATCTCCGATTTCCTTTTCAGATCATGTCCAGGTGCCAGGTGCCAGGACCATTCCTTACCCACCATTACGTTATTTAATGGTTTGTTTTGCATTGTTTTGAGGATTTTACACTACACAACCGGGTGGTTCCCATGTTTTGAATGGTCTTACAGGCCAGGGATGGCCAGGTCATTGCCATGCCCAAACCCAGACACGACCTGTTTGGAATTGATTGATGCCGATGAATTGAAATACTGAACCACCCCAACACAAAAGTATACCAGTCCCATGGTTTGGGTCGTGGGACAACGCCTACGCCTCAACAGCCTCCCTGCCGAGCGGGCCAACGACCCGAGCGAGCAGCCGCGTCGTCCGCGTCCTCGACCGAGCGTCAAGAGCTGCGCGTCGTCGTCGTTGCGTGCGTTTGTTCAAGACCGGATGAACGCAATTGGATCCGTTTGTCTCGGAACGCAGGCGGAATACCACAAAGATCAGCAAAGGCCTCGCGTTCCGCTGTTCCGCCTGGAACCTGCATCCATATCGGCTCAGGCGGGCAAGAGTGAAGCCTGCTCTTTTGCCGCACGCCACGATGCACCCGCAACGAAGCGCAAAAGAGAGTTGTCCGTCGTGAAGTCCGTGTGAACTGGTCAGACTTCGAAAACGAGTTCTTTCAATGGCTCCTAAACTTTCCAAAAGATGTGGTGGTTGTGATGATTGGACTGTCAAGAACCGGAAAGTGTTGGAAAGACGCGAATCCTATGGGACACCATGATCATACTGTAGAATGCAGGAATTTAGTGCCCTTAAGAATCCTTGACCCCTCCATGACAGCCATAGCAGGGGTTTGGATCCTCAAAACCCTTCCTATTTGAGGGCCCAGATTCTTCGGGTAGTTTATTATAAGATATACACTTATGCAATATCCTGCAATGGATCAGAATCTCATCAAAACCCAGAGTTTGGACCTTGGATGAGTTTTCGATGCAACAGATCCAGCCGATAAGAGCGATTAGTTGCAGTAGAACATCAAGCAAGCCCACGCGAGAGTGGAGATGGTCGGAATTTGCCATGGACGTGAGAAACCAGCTGGAACGTGCATGCTTGTATAGTGCTTGTATAGTATTTTGTCTCATCGGACCGCACGATCAGCAAGAAAGAACAGCAACGACTCAGTGCTGGATCCTGGAGGGCAGATGATGTTGTGAGTGTTCAAGGTGTTTGACAGGTGTTTGAAGCAAACCTGACTCTTGAGAGATGATGTGAGGGTTCGGCAGGAAGAAGTCTAATCCGTTCGATAGGGTATACATGTTGAATCATGTTGAGCAAGGTGCTTCATATTCCAGTAGGTTGACCTCCCGAACGTAGAGCAATCTGTTCATTTTCGGTGGTCAACCCAGGCAGCCTGGTGCCATGACCCACAGCCATATATCCATCAAGTCCATCGCGTTGACTCCATCGATGGCCTAATTTTACTATTTGGTTGATTACTATATAATTACTCATGACATCTAACTACTGGTATAGAGGGGATATATACCCAATGTGTACAATGAATTCATAGGTCTTCCTGGTACCTAGCATCGACCCTGTTGACCTCTATACATCGCCACCATTTTCGTGTCTTCGGTTCAAGACGGGAGAGTGGGGAACCTCCACTTCCCCCGGCGCCCGAGGCGCGGAGACGCCCCCGTTGGTGTTCAGAGCCGTGACCACACACACACTATTATACCAGGACCCTCCTGTCGGGGTGCCCTGTCTGGAAGCCTATAGGTAGTGTGGGGTAGTTCATTGGACACCCCGACAGGAGGGTCCAGGTAGTAATATATATTGATACGGCCCACCAGCGGTCGGCTGAGGCAATGGAGCGGCATTGGGTTTTAGCACGGCACCCAGACGAGTTGAGGCGTCGCCAACAGCCTTCGAAGGATCAAATTACCGAGTCGACAAGCCCAAAAGGGCGAGCCAGATTCCAGATTTGTGGCATTTGCGACACAAACAAGCAGACATTGTGTCAATTGAGCAAGTCCCAGCAGGCGGGATTTGACAATGGATTGTTTGCAAAGAGGTGCCAGGTTGAAGGCTTTGCTTCAACCCAACAAGGGTATGAACATATTATGCACCATTAGGGTGCGCTGCCTCTACCACCTCTTTAGCCGCTTAGCCTTTGTCAAAGACCGAGTCTTTCTTGTATGCCCAGGTGCCTATCTTAGTGATTCTGACTGACTCCAGGCATACCGCGATTGCGTGACGTGCAATTGACCACGGACGCTGACGCTTCTTCGATTGGACATGTCGACGGACGTGCGGTGAACTGCACTTGACGTGTGCGGTTCGCTTTATCAAACAAGATCCACCCAGGGCTGCCTTCACCGACGGCCATGGCCTTCACCGATGCTACACCCCATGCCGATCTCGGCCCCGCGCGCCAGGTCCATCGTATCCAAACGACTCAGGCCGCTCGGAACGGGTCATGGATTCCACGAAGAACGGGAGCAGACCGGAAACAACGACCACATGATACCACATGTATCCACATGTGTTGTGTTTTTTTCAATAAGCTTTTGTATGGTTTTGTGAGGAGGTCATTCGATGTTGAGCCATGTTGAGCCTGCAAGACCTTCCGGAAAGACCAGAAAAGAATGTATTGATGTGGTTTTGTTGTAGAATCATGTTGGATCCTTGTTCATTAGTAGTACAACAAATGATGTTCCATTTCACCTGGCATTTGGGATGTGCGTTGCTGCGCACCTGCAAGCGCTGCTGATTGGGATTCCGACCAAACACACGAATTCTCTCCTCTGGATGTGTGTTTTTTTTGTAGGTTCTCAGATTCGCAGAATCTTCTCAGTGTGAGACTGGCAATTGCTGAGGCATGTGGCGAAGGCCGGTTCGCGCGCGCATGTGGCGGGTTGCGGTGCTTTGAGCTCTCCCCTAAGGACTTAGATGGACCTCCAACGGTTGAAGGAGCCAACTATCTATAGCTCCTGGCATAAATAACAGGAAGCTACGAACGTAACAAGGGCATCGCCACTAGTAGCGCCTGGCAAGTCTCCTGGCATTACTACAAGTAGCAAATAGCTACGAGGTACCCCACGTGATGGGTCCTTTTTCAGGTCACTTATACAACCTCTCTTGGCACAAGGGATACTCATGCGGAGCCTCACGCGAGTGTGCACCAATGTCACTGTTCTGGTCCACCAATGGTGCGGAGGCTCTTTGCTTGGGAAAAGAGGATTTCCCTTGGGCCTTACCCTCCTTCAAGGACTTCCTTGTCTTTGGGTGACTTCAGTGAGCAATTCTTTTGGTCGATCTGGTTTTCTAATTATCTCACTTGTCGACTTGTGATATGAGCCCTTTGCTGCATGGTTGCATTGAGATCTCGATAAATAAGATGAATTAGCACGTCAGGTTGAATCACGCTTCGACGTGTTGCAGTTCAACTAAGTGTAGATACCTTTTGTTGATAGGCAGACTATCCAAAGTGGCATGTGCATTATATATATATATTTTTTTTTAGTTTTCCGTGTTAAAAGTTTATATCAGTCTTCGTAGAAGCGAAGATCTGAGTCTAAGAATTTCCTGCAGTCGCCGGCCATGACCGTTTGACCGACCGCATTGTGTGTGCGCTTTCGCCGACCAGGTGGTCATCTCCGTTTGACTGTTCGTCAGGAGCATGACCCAGTAATTACGTGGATCAACCCGGTTGAGCCTGGTTCCATCATGGTTTTCCGTATTTTTCTTTTAGAAGTCATCCCCGAAATTCGACGGTTTTGCCATTTGGACGAGCGGGATCTACCGCCTTGTACTTGATTGTACTTGTATATCTATTTGGGGGTCTATGTCACTTTTGGGGGGAGCAGCATGGTGGATCTTTCTTCGGTTCGACCTCGGATTGGGTTCTTAGCGTCGATCGATGCACAGAGGACGTCCCGAGTTGAGACAGAGACGTCTCGAGAAAGAGCAGTTGCGCAGCACACCAGGCCGGAAGCCCCTTTATGGATGACTTGGAGTTCCCGACTCAGACACAAGACAACATGGGTGAAAGGTCCCGTGAAACGAGATGACCAGATTCGAGACCTGTGGCGGGAGCCACCTTCTTCAACCGTGTGTTCTTCCGAAAAAAAGGGTCTTTCATGGTCTGACCCCATTGCTGACCCCATTGCAGAAAAGCTTGCAGTCCACTTCGGTCTTTACATGGACGACGTTGCTCCTGGATGTCCAGGACCCCAGGACCTACCGGCCGACGTCGTCGTCGTCGCCGCCGGCTTTCCCCCGTCCCAAAGGCCCGTGGCACCGCTGGATGCGTTCGGAGGAGCGTCCGAGGCGCCGGCGTTCAGCGCGGAGGAACGCCAGGAACCAGATGGAAGAGTCTTCAAAGTCGACCAACAGACCTGGACCTTCTTTCGGGGTGTCCTGTCTGGAGGTCCCGGATGGTAGTGTAGGGGCTTCCAGCCAGGTGACCCCGACATGAAGGTGCTGGGAGTTGATATATAATATGTATTTGATTTATATGTAAGCAATTCCGTGACTGGATCCTTTCCAAATTGAAACTGATTGATACCTAGACCTTCCAACTGTGCAAAATATCTGCCGAACTTGGATGGTGTTATCGATGAGAAGGCAAAAGAGAATTCTGCACAGTTTGAAGATCCAGGTATGTATGATAAAGGAAATGATGTTGAGAGACACCCCCCTGACTCTGTATTTGTTTGATTTCATTCCTTGTTTCCTGTTCTCAGCACCCGCTGAATCGGGTGCTGCTGGTAGGTCTGCTCCTCATGTTGATCCGTGAAGCCCACGAGATCCCATAGAGATCCACAGTCCAATCCATAGCCCAGACACGACCAGTCTGGGACTGGCATATATTTTGGGGGTCAATGTAGGCATATATATGGCAGTCCATGGAGTGTCTGGGTAGTGACAAGTGATGTAAGTGATCCATATAAATCCATGTAAATCCACGTGAATCGTTGTCAGCGATGTGTATGGTGAGTAGATCGACTTCGGTTTGCACTGACAGTTTTCTCTCCCGTTTGAGCCTGCTGAATGTGTAGATCGACACGGGAAAATGGTCCCTGCCAAGGTGATAGACACTGGTCGCCCGCGCCAAGGAGGTGCACACGAGTTCAGTTTTGGGCGGAAATCGACTTCGGTGTGTTGATGATACCGTTTTCGTGTCATGCAAATTGTTGAAGACCAACCTCCGACCTGCGGTCGTGTATCTCGAAAATCGTGGCTTTACGATACCTACGACCTGCGCTCGCCAGCGCTCGCCCGACCATGCTGTTCCATCGATCATCGATCGGAAGCTGCCCCAAGCTTCGATCCATGAGCCACCGGACCTGCAACCTGACGACACTATTGTTCCCCAATGGAGCTGGATCAGGAACTCCCCCCCCCCCCCCCCCCCCCCAAAAAAAAAAGGAATGTTTTCTTTATCAGGGGAATTGGAATCGCAACTAGATCTGGAACTAGAACTGGATCTGGAACTGGATCTCCACCTCCACACACAAAACTGAAGATCAATTGCATCATAGGAATTGAAATGACAACAAGAACTGGAAATAGAACTAGATCTAGAACTGGAACTGGATCTTGCCCCAGGACAGCTGCCAGCTCTTTGACAATGGATGTGGATCTGGAACTGGAACTGGAACAGTTCAGTCAGTCAACAAGTCTGACTACTGTTGAGAAAGGCCTGCAACTGAACCATCATCATCCACTGGTAATAGGCTATACCCAACATATGGGTGTGTATTTTCGGGAGACCTCCCTGGCGGCCCTGGCTGGGCAGACTGGTCGATGTTTTTCGAAAGTTCGGAACGCGTGCAAGGTCTTCCTATTTTAAGGCGCACTCCTATGACCCCTATGGCATTTCGTACTGTTCTCCAACAAGCGTCCCGCTGACGCAATTTTCACGTCCCTCCCCCCGAGACCGGACAAAGATGGAGATTGTTTTATGACAGTCATAGCAATCGTTTGTAGCTTCCAAAAACCTTGCTGCAGGATCAACTCAGGCAGCAAAAAAATATGCATACAATCACGGAAGGAATCCTGAAGTGAGCATGGGCGCGCAGAGGGAGAGGCCCCTCAGGTTGACTCTGAAAAAGAGGACCAATCAACAGAAACCCATAAAACCATAAATAAAGCTTGGTTAGTGGATGCTGCAGGACCCTCCTTATAGGGGCGAGAAACCCCCAGTTCGTTGCCAGGCGCCCGCCGCCCCGCCTTGTACGTGCCCCCGCCCGGAGGTCCCAGTGGGGAAGGGATGGAGCTTCCTGATTGAGCAACACGTCAGGTTCCCGAACCCAGAAAGTCCAGGCTAACGACTATAAACAAATAGGGTAACCAGTGGTTCCAAAGACTTAAAACGATCGACCTAACATATAGTGGTTTGCCTGGGATCCACATGCAATCCTGCAAGCGTTCTCGGAACTCCATGTTGATGACTAGAGAAAGTCATGTGCAAAATGTGGTGGTCGAAGCCGACCAACACCTCGGATGGCTGACGGTACTGGGTGGTTTTCCTTAAAAAAACAGTCAAACAACGCGGTCAGAAGCTCCACGTGGTTCCAAAAGCGCCTCAGAGTGCACAGTTTGGAGTTCTCTTCGATAGCACGGCTTTCTTCTCCGTGTGCGACCAAACCGATGGAACAGCGTGGGTCTTCCCACGCTCGTCCAGTTCGACGGAGGGTCTTACAATCTCGGGTCCAGGTACTATAACTCATAGAGATTCAGGGCAAGCAAGGAGTGATCGATTGAATGGGTTATAATGGGTTGAACTATACTGGAGACCGTGTTTACCCCGACAGCAAACCAGCGTCAGCCGTATGACGTCAGCCAGTACGTCAGCCGTGGTGCCATTGGGGCGCTCCCATCGACCCGGCTCGAACTCGGCCCATCCCCTGCCGCCCGCCTCCCCTCCCACGGCCCCATCTCATCAACTCAGACCCACGACAGCGGTGCCAGAGAAGCTCGGGCTTCGACTCGCGACCCTCTGACTCCAAGGTATCTCTATCCAGACGCCTTTCCCAGCACGGCCAGTGACCGCTGCCGATGCGAGGCGGCCTCGCGTCCGCTGCCGATGCGTGCGCTGCGCGTCCAGAGTTGTGTGCCGAGCTGCTCGCGCTGGGTGGTGGTTTTGGGATTTTTTGGGGTAGTAGTAGCCTCGCTATTGGGAACAGGTGCATCGCAACACTGCATCGCTATGAGTAGCAAGAAGCGGAAGATGTTGGGCGTTTCCGCTACCTGGACTGGTGAAAGACCTAGTGACAAGACGAGGTGCCCAGAGTTCACACCGTCCAACCAGGTGGACGAAAGGAAGGTGGTATAGAACGGCGGGTGGAAAACGTTCGTAGGTGGATTTCGGACACGTTTTGGGGGTCAGTTGATGTGAAAGCCAACGAGATCAGCGAGGATCAGGGAGGGGGTTCCAAGATGTTTTCGGCATTGGATGTCGCCCAAGCGTGCAGAGTTTGGTCATGCACCAATGGTCAGACAGGACCACGGTTTAGGCTTCGGTGCTTTAGGAGAATTCGGGCATATTCGGGCATATGGCAGGACTTGGTTCTGGCATAATGCAATGAAAGGTCGATGCCTTTTGGGGAACCGGTGATTCTTTCGATGTTTTTTTGGAGGGACCCCCGCTAATGGAGGGGGAAGGGTTTCACATTGAAATCCCTGAAACAGTGATCTCAATCAAGTTCAATCATGTTCCCATGCAGATGCTTTTCATTTTCTCATGCAGAAGCATTTTCAAGACGATAATAAAGAATCGTCTGACTCGGTGACATGACCGGTGACCCGAGGAATTTCATGGATTTTCCTGAAATTGTCGAACTGGACTTCAGCTTGATTTGGTGGGTTGATCGCCTCCACAGGTCGTCCAACGGTATGTGTTTTCTGCCTGCAGACTGGTTTTAGAATGTTTTAGATCTTCCACACCACCAGAATGGCTCCTGTAAGGAGCGAAAAGGCATGGCTGATCGACTCGTTGGACCGATATGGATCTTGAAACGGTCAAATGAAAAGCACGCCCGTACAAGCCCTAAAGAGGGATCTTCTAATAAATTATGGTCCGAATGAAACAAATATGTAACATGTGTAACCTGTAGCGGCAAAATCATATTCTTCTGCCAGCTTCTTCAGTCCCTCCTTGTGACCTTTGGCGGGCCTGTGTGTGACCTCAAAACCGGGGATCAAGTTCGGTCACTTGGAAGAACCGGGCCTATGGATGCCACCATCCAAGCGCGAAGGGTGATGTGTTCGAGACAATTTATTTAAAAAATAAAGGTCGTACCTTCTGAGAAGGTGGCCGTGAACTAACTGTTGGGAAAGGTTTACCCCCATCGGCAACCAGCGTCCGTCACATGATACTGCTAACCCCATGGGCAAAAACCTGCCACAGTTCCCTCATACCTTATAGTGGTACAGTGGCACGGTTTGTATAAAACATGTTCTACGTGGGGATCTATCTAGAACTGCCTGGAACCCCAGTCCCAACCAGAAAGAAATGGATGGAACTCCCCAGTCCCAACCATTTCCTATGTTGGATGTTTCCCCAAACAACCACTTGTTATGTAAAGGATTTCAACACCCTCCTCTCTCTTCGCCGTGCGAAGACGGCCGGCCAGGCGCCCAAGCGGGAAGAGCTCACGAAGGACCAGCGGTGGAGCTTTGGGCGCTGTGCCAACGCACAGTGGATGTGAAAGTGGCGATGTTCTGATTCTTCCAGGTGCACGAAGGATCCGCACCCGAAATAAAACAAGGGTGTGGTTTTCGGGTCCCCAAACCCTTGTTATACAGGGTTCGACCCCTTCTAAGGAGGGTCCAAGGATCCTTCGGGTTCGATGTTGGAGGGATTGACGTTTTTGGTCATCGACTGAAGCCAAGTGTGCTTTTGTCCAGAACCAGGATGCACCATCCACTGATGCTTCGGCTCGCAGAGGCCTAAAGGGTCCCTCATTCCTTCTATGTACCTGGACACCCTCCAATATATTCCATACCCTACTATACCTGGATCTTCAAACTGTGCAAAAAAAACTGGTACTTTCTTGGCATTTTTAGAGAGACATAATATATAGTGTGGAAAACCAGGTGGTAGCAAACGAAGTCCACCACCAACGAACGCGCCGCGCCGACGCGCGGGAGACAAAGTCGCCGAGGCGACCGCACCGCAGGCTTTTCAAACTCTCGAGCCCACCCGTCTCGGTGGAGCGAAGTTTCGCGTTTCATGTTGCATGGCATGCAACTCACATGGACCGTTCTTGGCCCCAAGGTAAAAAGGGTTGCGCATCGCGCAGCCAGGAATCCACATCCTGGCGAATGCACCAGCCTGCAGGATACTCAAACCTGTCAGGCGGGCACTGGTGTTCAGTGCAAAAGCTGCAGCCTCGAAAGGGCTGGACATTGGATGGAACTGCGTTCTCAACGATGTGGCATCCATAGAGGTGCCAACACCTTCCTTTCTTCACTACAAAAACCTCCTTTCCACATGGGCACCGGTTTGAGTGGCGCTCCATCTCAGCGACCAATGCTTTCAGCAGCTGGTCCGCACACTCTACCAAAGATCTCAATTCCGAGACCTCTCGGATCTGCAGGTTGAGGGCAGATCGAGATTCACGAGCTGCGGCCTGGGACTCACTGGCCTTCAAAGCTTCTGACTTGGCGATCTCTCGCCATCGCTGCAGGACTACCGGATCATCTTTCTGTACACCAGCTTCGGAGGTGGCAGGGCTTTCAAACACTTGTGGCCTCTTGGATGCTCGGCCACACATGAAAACAAGCAGCATCGCTCCAAGGTGCAAAAACAGAAAAACGCTCAGCCAGAAATCTCCAGTGTCTTCGGGGGCGTGAACATCAGGCTTCGAGCAAACATCCGATTCAGCCTTTCCGGCTGCCAGCAGTGAAAAGCTCAACAAACCAAGAAACACGTTCTTCAAGCGACTCTGGTCGACAAACTCCATGCGGCTCGGCACGACATGGCTCCGGGCGTCGACATACTGTAGCGAGCCGTGGTTCTGAGCAAAGCTGACAATGTCAGGCGCGTCTTCATTCGGCCAGGCTTCATTGTCCTCAGAGATGTTGTCATTCTTTGGAGTGGCATTGGTCTCATGAGGGTGCTCATTCTCCATCATGTCCTCAGTGCGTGTCGCGACCAGACGTGGGAGTGGCGGGAGTGCAGTAGACTCTGCAATCGCGGCGGCCTTCTCAGCCTTCGACTTCTTCTTAGTGAGGGTCCCATGTCATCTTCAACTTTCCATGGCGAAGTCGGGAGGCCAACAAAACACGTGCTGACTCCTTCGTTAAGCCGTCAGCAATTTGCCGCTCAGAGCTCATCCAGCGCAGGGAACCAGAAAGCTCTTCCAACCGCTCCTTCATCACGCGGATCTCCAGCGACACCCGCTTATCCACAACTGAGGAACTGATCCCTTCTCGGTGGTAGGAATCGTAGAGGGCTTTGGCGTCCGTGATGAGGACTGGTTTGAGGTCGGACTTCACCTCAAGAAGCTCCTTGAGCTTGGTGTTGGGGTGCAACAAGTGGTGCCAATAGCGGCATGTGAAGTCGACGGCATCAACTGCTTGTCCTCCCGCCTGGGCTTCGGCGCCAAGGCTGCTTCGAGCAACACGGGGAGTGCGAAAGCTCCTCCAGTCCAGGACATGGTATTCGCCCTCTTCCGCGGAGGTGAGAAGCTCTCGATGAACCACCCGCGTGATGTAGCCTCCCTGTGAGCTTCCATCACACCTTGCGGTGAAGCCAGCGTCAAAAAAGCAAACCAACTGAAGCTCATCAGGGTGGCATAGATGGTTGTAGCTGAGGCTCACATCTTTGTTCTCCTTTGCGAAGCGGAGAAGACGATTGCACTCGTGCATTGTCTGGACAGTGGCCTTGGTGATCTGGCCTGAGAGCATGGACGTGGTGCACTGCAAGTGTGGAGAGGTTTGGACTCCAGGCCATTGGAGCGACCCCAGGAGTCCTCGCACTTGGGTGATCTCCTTGTCCAACAGAAGTTCGGACATGGGGCGTCCTTTGGAAAAGCTGATGGGCTTGAGCTTGCTCATGTACTGCTCTTGGTGAAGGCGACGTCCACCGGATGCAGTCTTCTCAAGTTGGCATCCGCAGTACTCCAGACAGGGTTCCTCCTCCTTCCATTCACGGAACGAGAAATTCTCCTTCAGAAGGTCGGTGACGGCCTTGTAGCGAGGTGAATGAGGACATCCAGCACCAAGCATGTCATCCACGTGCATGATGACCATGCCACAGAGGCATTCTGGACCAAGAGTGCTCACCTTCTCATAGATCGGTGAACCAGCATCATAGTCCTGAGCATCGGACTCATAGATGAGGAAGGCACAAGGGTCCAAAGGGTGCTGTCGGAGTCCAGCGCGCAAAAGGCGGTCAACTGCCTCCAAGTACCAGCCTCGTGGAGCATCGATCTGCCCGTAGCAGGGCTTGAGCAACAACATGCGAGTGTCATGATCGGCCCCAAGCAACTGCAGTGCTTCGCTGGGAAGCTTCACCCACAGCTTGCGGTCTTGACATCGACCTTGAAGGAATGCCGTGGACACATCTGCCGTCCACATGTTCCACCGCATGTTGGCGGCTAGCGAAAGCACCATGCTCCTTGACAGGCGTGTTGTGGTTGGACTGGATGTTGGAATCTGGCCTGCCAGAGCATCGGGGTCATTGTACCCTCGCACGATGAGTCGTGCCTTCGCCCTTGGGCTGCCATCAGGATTCTTGGACCATTTCAAAATCATCCTTGAGGTCAGGGTCCTTGCTTCATCGGCCTCTGACTTGGTCTGGAAAGTCCAGACTCCGTGGTCGAAGAAACTCTTCAGCTCCTTCACCTTGGCTTCCTTGAAGAGTGCTCGTTCGTGAGGGCCAAGGTGTCTTTCATTGACATCATTCTTTGCGGTCTTCATCTTCTTGACTCGGGCCAGTTTCTGACTCTTGGCCTCTTGCTTGGCGGAGGTGAAGGCTTCGTGGTAGCCACCATACATGGCCATCTCTTTCCGCAATGAGCCGGTGACCTGGAAGACCGTGACGCCAGTCCAGGAGGACTTCAAATCCTTGGGAGGTGCCGTGTCCGTGCCATCATCGGTCGTGAGTCGTCCCTTCCCACCAGGTTGGTGGATCAAGGTGACCTTGATGCGGTCGAGCTGGTCTGCAGGAACCGGACAATCCTTTGGCAGGTGATCAATGTTCAGCTTGCCTCTTCTGGGCACAAGGTGATGCCTGATGAGACATCCTGCCTTCACTTCCCAATAGTCCATGGGGCGATCACACAGGCTGATGAAGCCTTCATCATCAACATGCCATCCGGCAGGTAGCAGCTTTGGATCAAGGTCTTCAACTTGGAAGGCCTGTCCTGGTAGCTGTTCGCCAGCTTGTGGCGTGGCGGTCTGGGTTGCCTGGGCTGCCGCTGCCGCTGTTGTGTGTGTTCTGTTATCTGGAGCCGGCCCATAGGGTGTGTTCGGATGCTGATGGCGTGTCCGCCATGGTGCGAAGCTCAACGTTTCTTGTCTGTTGAAACGCAGGCGCTGCTGTTGGAAGGTCTCTCGCTCCGTGGTCTCGTAGAGCGAGGCGGTCTGTGGATCTAATGCCGGTCGGTGTTGACTGGCATGTGGTGTCGGCTGTCCGCTTTGGATCGGAGGCTCTTCACTGGGTTCCTGACTCGGCTGTGATATGCTGCCAGGAGACATCGGCACAGGCGGCAGTTGTCCTTGTGACCTCGGTGTATCTGGGACTGGTGGTAGTTCTTGAGGTTCTGCCGGTGCATGGGTTGCTGATGGATCCTGTGCAGGTGGTGCTTCATGTTGCGCCGATGGCGCTGGTGCCGAATCCGGTGGTGCTTCCGGACTTTCCTGGGGTGTGTCTTGCTCGGGCATGCTAATCGACAAGCGTGGTCGCTGTCGAGGAGGTGCCATCTCATGCTCAGACAGGGACTCGAGGCCGGATGCCTCGCCATGCTCATCATCTTCAACGTCGGCCAAGTTCTGCCGATTTGCCCTGTTGAGGTCATAGAAGCGGGTCACACCCCGAGAGCGAAGTTGACGGACGGTGTTCAAAGCACCTTGGGTATCATCCAGGGCGTGGTCCAGGCTCTTGACATCTGCTCGTACGTGGTGAGGAGCGCATCGGATCAGCTGGGTCTTGAATGCCAGCCAGTACACGCTCACTTGCGAGGTGCCAGACTCATCTTGCTTGTGCTCCTTCATGACGACCTGAGCCGGGCCCAACCATCTAATCTTCACCAAGTCGGGCTGTTTGGCATCGCGCCAAAACCAAACCTTTTGCCCCAAGCTGTACTCAGCGTTGACACCCTTGTACTTGAGACTCAGTGCACGGCGAAGGCGACGATCAGCATCAGCATCGATCAATGCCTTCTTGGCTGCCTGCCGTTTGGTGAGGGCATCTTCAAAGGTAGAGTTGCCGCCAAAGTGCGGCGCTTGGGTGTGCTCTGACAGAAGGTCTCCAGCCATGCCAGGTTGATGTCCCAGCACCCATTGCGTTGGACTGAAGCCTGCAACACTTGGAGTGGCATTGAGCTGTGGCAAGACATAGGTCAGGGCCTCTTTGATGCCAGGGGCGTCATCGATCTTTTGATCGTCGAGGTAGATCTCCACTGCTCTTCGAATTACGGCATGTCGCCGTTCAACCACTGCCAGACGTTCGTGAGCTTCCCCAGGAGCGACGATGTGCTCAATGTTGTGGGCTGTTGTCCAATCATCCATGGCCTGTCCAAGCCAGGGTCGGCCTTCATCAGTGAGAAGAGCAGCTGGTGGACCAAACACGGAGATCCAAGCCCGTTCAACGGCTCGGATGTACTGCTCTGACTGCTCATTCTTCAGGAGAATCGCGGCCGTGTAGCGAGTGGCTGTGTCGACCAGGCTGAGGATGGGGTACTTGGTGCTTCCTCTGCGAATCCAGAACACATCTGCTTGGACGACTGAGTTGAACTCCTTGGCCTTGGGCATGGAAGCAGGAGCCGTTTGAGCTGGCTTCTTATACTTTGCACAGGCCGTACAGACATAGCCCTTTGCGGCGTGGATGACTGCCTCAGATGCTCCTCGAGCGGCTAACAACTCAGCCAATGCTTCAGGGCCAGGATGACCGAGGTTCCTGTGCAAGCGTTGAACGACCCGGATGGCCTCTTGTTTGGTCTCCGCCTTGAGCTTGATGAGGGAGCCAGTGGTCTGTCGTTCTTCCTCGGCTGCATGGGCTGTTTCCCAAAGCGTGGGTGGCTCGTCCACGAACAAGGCACCAGCCAATGTGGCTGCGAGACCAGGTTGATACTCTTCCATGTATCGAGCGCGAGAACCATAGCCAGGAGCTGCGCCTTCGAGATGACAGTGCTGGTGATCCTTCTGGCAGGTGAGGCTCATCGCATCTTGGACAGCACGCTTGGTGGTGAGTAGCGTGGTGTCTTTGCGCACCGGGCGCCAAACTCCATCTTCGTCAAGGCACTGTGCGCCGTACCTGCACTGAGAGAAATCAGCACGGCGGCCAGGTAGATCTCGAAGTGCACGTGTGCGCCAGGATAGCGCATGCTTTGGCTGCTCCAGTGTGGCGTGGCGGCCACCAGTGGCCTGAGCTAGGTAGATCTTCTTGGCGAACAGGAGGTGTCGATCATGATGTCGTGCTCGAGCAGCAATCAAAGCTTCTTGCTGATGCCAGGTGCGACGGCCAAGACTTTGCATGCGGGACCAGAGCTTGCATTCGGGAGTGATCAACACTTCATCCGGTTGTTCTTCATCAAGTAGGGCCATGAACTGGTCTTGGTGGTTGAGGTTGTCAAAGTCCCATCCAGTCTCATACGAGAATTGTCGCACTTCCAGTCCAAGGGCCTCAGCAAGTTGCGAGGTTCGAGCTGTGCCGCAGTAGACTTCCCACAGCACTCGAGGTCGATCTGGTCGATGTAGCTCCTTGGTGACAAAGGCTGACAAATCATTCAGGTGGGTGCGAAGGTGCACATCCATAGTTTTCAACTCTTGCTTGAGGGTACACACACCAGGTTTCAACTCCCTTTGTCACAAGCTCTTCACGAGCAGTGAAGCCATGTTCAGCCTCGAGGAAATCCTTCAGGTGGAAGCCATCTGTTGCAGCAACTTCAGGATCGGCTGTGCGCAGTTCATAGTCAGGCTGACTAACGTCGTAGTAGACGGTGTCGTGCTCAGCGGTCAGGGACCAAAGATATTCGCCTTGGCGTCCGAGCGTGGCATCTGTCCAAGTGGATGTGCCAAAGCGCAACCGCTTTTGAGCGAAGTCCATGGTGATGCCCAACGCCTCGATGATCGGGCGTCCACAAAGCATGGGAGTGCCTCCAGGAAGCAGGAAGACCTCGATGGTGCCATACTTTCCATCGATGAAGGTCGGGAGGTGAGCTGACCAGTCCGACCACAAGGATGCATCACCGCCGAATTGGAAGCGGCGTCGGCCTTTGCTCATGCGGATGCTCTCAACCGGGAAGTCGATGGACTTGAGGTGGTCCAGGTAGCGCTTGAATGGGCCATAGCCACTGAGGAATGCACTTGCTCCTGGGTCAAGCATCACACAATCCGGTCTTTCGGAACCATTGCTGTCCTGGAAGATGAGCATCGCAGACTCGTCAGGCTTGAAGGTGGTCTGCAAGGCCATACCCTCTGTCGTGGAAGGAGCCGGTCGCTTCTGACCAGATTTCATGGAGCCGGAGGCATTCTGAGGGCAGTTTGCCGCCCAGTGACCAGGCTGGCCACATCGCAAGCAGGTCATCGCAGCTTTTGCCCTTGCCCGGGGATCAACTGGCCGGTTGTCCGTGTTGGAGTAGCGGATGTTTGTCTTTGACTTGGACTTGCCAGATTTGGAACTCCCCTTGCCCTTTCCCTTCGCCCTCCATGATGATGGTGAGGTAGTCGATGATGTGGGCGAGTGACCTCCTTGTTGATCGGTGAGGGCAACAATCGGCAAGTAGCCGCGGGACATCTTGAGCTCCTGAAATCTCTTTCGAGCGTCAGTGTACGAGGCGAAGGCCATGTCGTACTCCTCTGCCAGTTCATGTGGCGAAGTTGCGGAGGTGTCATCATCGGGCCATGGTTCATCGCCGTAGTAGACGGCGTCTTCATCGAATTCATAGGCCTCGTCCGGGTCCTGGGTTGGCTCTTCATGCCAATCTTCACCTTCATAGTAGCCGGACTCCCAGTGGTCATAGTCGTCATCTTCACCTTCATAGTCCTCTGCGGCCGCATAGGCTCTGTTCTTCCACTGGGGGCTGAAGCCAAAACGTCGATTCCTTTCGGTGTTCCATCCTCCACCTTTGAAATCTTGGCCCAGGATGAGGTACATGGCTTCGATCACCTCGTTCTTCTCAAGGCTGGGAGCGCGCAGGGTGATCATTTGCCTCTGCTCTCTGCTGAGCGAGGCTCGGCGTAGAAGATGCCATCCTTGTACCTGCGAGGGCAACTCAACCTTGTGCTGTTGCAGCTTCCGATACGCCTCCTCATGATCTGTCACGTACAGTAACAGAGTTTGGCCGGCAGGCCTCTGGAGGAGGTTGAAGTAGTTCTCAAAGTCGGAGGGAAGCTGCACGCGGGAGTCATAGGCAAAGTTGGCGTCCAGGGTGGTGATCAGACGCGTGAAGGCGTCTTCCTTCTCCAGCTCCTCGATGGACCACTCCTGAAACAAGCGCCATGTCACGCCAGTGAACGATCCCACGATGTTCAACACACTCTCGTTGCTCCTCTTCGAAATGGCCATCTTTCGATGGTACAAGTGGATCCTCTGTCGCCACTCTTTGTAATCGGCCGGCTGGCCGGAAAACAAAGGCACATAGCTGTCTCGAAGATCAGCGTAGCTCGTACCCTCTTTCGAACTCGAGGCAGGTGCAGCCTGGGTCTGTTTTGTGGGCTTGCCCATGATGGAGGCGACAGTGAGGTAGGGCTCCACAAGGTCGTGCTGGATGGCCTCAAAGCCGTGGATATAGAGAAGTGCAAATGCCAGCAACCAAAACCAAAATAGAGCTCGTTCTGCCGATCGTGACCCGGGTCTTATGCAGGACCTCGTGCTCGTTCTCGCGTAGCACATGCAGAGCCCCTGGATGGGGCTCCGCTACCAATGTGGAAAACCAGGTGGTAGCAAACGAAGTCCACCACCAACGAACGCGCCGCGCCGACGCGCGGGAGACAAAGTCGCCGAGGCGACCGCACCGCAGGCTTTTCAAACTCTCGAGCCCACCCGTCTCGGTGGAGCGAAGTTTCGCGTTTCATGTTGCATGGCATGCAACTCACATATAGTTATACCCATACAGATGTAGACACCAGGTGTTGAACACATGGTCTTCACGAAGCCAGGAGGATCGGCTCTGGGCCTCAGAGGTGTCCAAGCAGCTGGGTCTTCCCCTCGCACAGGCGCCCTTCGCGCGCCGCATCGCGCAGCGAGCGAGCGAAGCCCGGTCCGAAACACCTGTTCGCGCGGTGCCGGTCTTCGGGGCTCTTCGGAGTGGGGATGGTGTTCGTCGTTTTCGCGGTCAGGTGGTGAAGGGCCCAAGAAGACCGGTAGAGGATTGCTTAGTGGCCCCAGAGCTCTTACTTGTTCGCGGTCAGAAAAGGGCTCCGGCCTCTTAAGGCCTGTGTTGAGAGTTTGGCCTTTTTTCACGCGGTGTCACGGAATATTGCAGAACACGGTGTCCGTCGCAAGGACATGCTTGGCGCCATGCTTCGTGTCGTTCAGAGATTGGAGCAATCCCACCCAACTCTCGACGAAACCTTTGCCTTAATTAACGAAATGGGGATGCCAGGGGCGAAGCCTCGCGCGCGTCACACATGGAAAAAAGATGAAAAAAAGAACATCGATAAAGCTTGGTGAATGAGCGGCCCGCTTTTCCATTCGCACAGACCAGACGCCCTTTTCATCTGCTGCACCGAACAGATGCCCATCCCTGCCCTGGCCGAACGTGACGGTGCAGCCCCTCACTTCAGGTGATGGAGCCCCGAGATTTTCGCGGCGTGGCCCACTGTGCCGCGGCGTGAGGACATCAAAGGACTCAACGGTCTGGTGCCGGGGGGGGCGTCGGGGTGTCCTGTCGCAGCGACTGTCAAGGATCATGTTCGATGTTCATTCCTTTTCCCGGTGCCTGGACAGCAAATCCAAGGGTTTTTTCCTAGACTCTTGATGCCCTCAACCCGCCCAGCTTGAATTGAAAAGCCTCTTTACATGGAGGGTTTTGCTCATCCTCCAGAGACGTCGACCAAACGTGTGGCTTTTGCCCACTCCATGGCATCTACTCGTCGACCAAGATGAGGACAGAAGCAATGTGGCGCTAGTAGCTTCAAGACATGGGAGACCCACCCTCCGAGGTGCCCCACCCCCGCGGAAGAAGGAGATCGCAAGCCACGGGGCGATCGGCCGGCTAGGTGTCTCTCCATTGAAAGGTCACACCATGTCACACCCGTACCCTAGGGATCTGTCGTACCTTCTCAGAACGTGAAGTATATATACTACTAGTAGTATATAGTATAGATTTGGAGGGTCCAAGCACCTCCTGAGAAGGTAGGTACTTGGATCCCTAGGGATATTATGATGTCAGGAAGTTTAAATGTACGGAGAGAATGACCCATTTGCTTTAAGAGTCTTTCCCATCTCACGTCGAGGCCGTCTCGGCCTCGTTGGCCTCCGACAACCACGTCCCGTGGCAGGCGTCATCCACGCGTCCCGTCCGCGCACTGCGCGGCGCACACTGCGGAGTGAGGTGATTGTGGCTCAGCACCACCCGCAGGGCAGGTCTTTCGCTACGTGAAGTCCACCGGCTCCGAGAACCGACGCTTTCTCGGCAGGAAGAGGTGGCAGGAAGCGAGGAGATGTGGAGAGCGGAGAGCGAGGAGATGTGGAGGGCGAAGGTGAAGAAACAGCCGGCCCAGCCTCTCTTGGTTGGCTTTCTTGATGCACAACTAGTTTTGTTTAGGACACTATATAGATAAAACATTAAACATTATTTAAAAAATAAAAACTAATTAGTACTTGGGAAGGTTTAGATCACAGATATACACAGAGAACAGGTTCAATTCACCGCAATCCCGAAGAGAATGTGACCAGTGAGAAGAGTGGGAGGCCATCGACGCAAGATATGCAGCCCATCCAACCCGAAATAATTAGAAGCTTCAGCATAATTTTGGGTGGTTGCTGGTACAGCAGGTATCTCATGCATTCGTTTGTCTCCGTCGGTTGCCTACAATCCAACCTGTGCGTGCTCCATAAGGCTCTGGCTTTGTCCTTGAAAGTGCTGACCCCACAGCGGCTTTGCTTTGAATTAGTGCCCTAAGAGTCCAGCCCTGACACCTTCGCAGGGGTCCGGACCCGAACCAAACCCTATAGTGTTGCTTCCACGGGCCCGGATGCTTAGCTTGGGCAGTGAAGCTTTCCACCCGAATCCCCAGCCCTTCTCCAATGGAAAGGGCTGCATCCCTTTCGCATTGGCGACCATGTCGGGTCCAAGCATTCGCACCCGTGGCCGTGGCGCACGCCTTGGTGCATCCCATCCTGAAACACCGTTTTCACCGACACGGACGAGCTGGGCGGAGCTGCAGACCGACCGATGTGTGGACCGGTTCAATCTATCCCAAACACGACCAGTTCTGGGAAGCATAGTCTAGCAAGTCGAGGTCATTTGAGGGTCAGGACGGCATACCTTCCGTACCTGAAGGTCCTTCGGAACAGTGAAAGTCCACCTGTTCCTCGAGCTTGGCTTTCAATTCGGTTTGACACGCGCATGATCACAGATCACACAGAAACCCTTACTATGTCCGACTGGAGACTGCAAAAAAGACTGGGCCGCCCAAGGGAGAAAAGCATGAACAGAACATGATATATGATATGTTCCAACTTGATGGAACATATTGACCTTCACATTGACATGTTGAGACTAAACTGTTCAACTTAACATGTTGCGAGCCGCGCCACGCGGAGTGCATCGCTCAGTTTCCCTTTGGAAGCTTTTGGGAGCCAGAGGTGGTGAATAGCGCAGGGCTCTCAGCCTGAATGTATGTCAAGCAAAGCTGGCAAGGACTCTTCAAAATTCGGGTCAAGTTGCCAGAGTTCACCGAGTTCATGAACTTCAAACGAACTCTGTCCACTGAGCTTGGTTCATTGGTGGTGATGAAGAGGGCTTGGTTCATTGGTCTCCCACTGAGTGGTTCTTCTTGCAGGCAGGCCTCGTGGCCCCAGGTGATCGGCAAGATCAGTGGCCGGTTCAGGCAGGATCAGTGAAATAGATTAAGAAGATACCATTCATTTTACGTGGTGAATAGAAAAGAACACTTATATATATATATATTTAGATCTTCCAACTGTGCATGTGTTAGAACCGTTAAAACCTTTTGGCTGGTTTTATTGATGAGAAGGCAGAAATTGCACAGTTTGAAGATCCAGGTATACTGGATATATTGTTCAATATGAATATTAATAATATGAATATGAATCAATCTAAATTGAGCGGGTGTGAATGAATGGAAATACATTCATGGACTAGTCATGCTGTCACCGCTGTCATGACCTGACGCCCCGACGGGTCAGGGGGTTCGAAGGAGCGACTTCGTTCAACACCCGGGAATATCCTTTACTTCGGTGGTCCCAAAACCAGTCTTTGGACTTCTAAGGCTATAAATATATATTATATCAGTTATTATATCATATTATATCATATATATATTTATTGTATGTTTCCCCTTCGTCACCGTGACCGTCGTGACGCCAGGCTCCCTATGATGAAGTGGATCTGGATGAAGAGGCCTATGCCAAGCACGATCAAATCCCCAGGAAGTTTGCAAGGCAGGAAGCATGCGGAACAGTTTGAGCAGAGTTTGGTGCGGGATCATTCCTGAGGGATGGAGTTACCTACCACTATAGCGACTATTTTAGGTAACTATTAGACCTAGACCTGGTTTGGTATAGTATAGAGCGACCCAAAAAACAGGACAGAACAGAACATCTTGGTAAAGATGTATTGGGAAGCGATTCCCTGTTTGTTTGCACCGGTGGAAACTGGGTTCCACCGGGAATCCGGCCGTTTCGTACAACCTTTGGTCATGAGCGCTTTCTGACCATGTTTGCGGCGCTGTTTGGCAGTCCAATGATTTCTCTCTGGGCCATGTTGGATGGTCCGGGTCTCCATAATTGAGAATCTTTGCCCAGAGTGGAACCCTTTTTGGAGATGCGAACAGGTGGACAGTTCCTTCGAACAGCTTGATATCCACATCGAAGCTTTGCCAGATACTTCGACCAATTGGAGAGCCGGCGCAGTTGCGAGGGCGAGGACTGCATGCCGGGCGTCCTAAGGATCTCTTTACGTCCGGTGTCATGAGGAAATCATTGCCCAGACACTCCATGTATGGAATACTTACATTGACACAAATGGCACTCATTGACACCACGGCCTGGTAGTGGTGGATGATGACTTGAAGTGAGTCATTGAAAGTTCTCCGCTTTTGGCATGCTGTGGCAAGGTCCCCTTGTGCTGCAGGTGATAAGGCTGGCGGTGGATGCTTCTGTTTACCTTCTGGCTCTTCCATTGCACTGTGACTGGTGATGGCATGAAACGGCCTGCACCGAACAAGGACCTCTTTCGTTGCAGCCGGCCTTTGCCCTGAACATCATGAAGTGTCTATACTTCATAGCCGTGAAAGAATATGACCCTCAGATGATGTGTTTTTCGTTTTTCAGGGCATCCCGAAACGCATCAGGACGTTCGCTTCCGTTTCACATCAATACGATCAGACGGGTCCTCATCACGTCCTCATCACCTCCTTCACCGCCACGGACGGGACGCCGTGCGACGCCCGCGGTCGACGGGAGGTGCTCTTGCAGCTGGGGAACTTGCGGCGGAATGCTACCGTCTTGTGGGCCGCAGGTGCCAACGCTGCCGGGAAGCCCGGTCGAGGGGTTCAACCGCCACGGTGACACGGGACCGGCTGTTGAACCCAGTGATGGGACCGGATGTAATATAGGTTTATGGTACCAAACTGACCATTTGGTGCCAAGAAAACATGGAAGCTGTGTGAAATTCTTGCTCATGCAACTCTGGTGCTCTGAATGAACGATCTTTTTGCTGTGGAGCGGGAATATAGAAGATGATGGTAATCCCCAACAGAGCAAACACATGACTACGCAAGTATATGGTGCCTCGATTTGCTCGCATTGACGCAACCGCAACCAATTGCCATTGACATGATCTCATGTTGCATGACCCTGCACCCTATATATCCCGTTATATCCCTATATAGTATACATCTATATACCTTGTCGAAGACCTGTGTTCGCAATAACAGCTCTTTGGCATTCTTCGGCTAAAGACCTAACGAAGATGTCAAACAAACCTACTGAAGTACTTTAGCCCTTTTTCCTCGGGTGGTATCCCACAAACGCTCTTTGCTTGTCTGTCCGGTTTATCCTTCGGTGCTCCATTACAGATTGGACATTTTGGCGGGGTTGTTTGCGACTTCTTTAGGTCTCTCCACGCGTTGTCCAAGGTGTTTGCAGTGACATTCTTGCACCAAAGTGCTTTTCGGGCAGCCTGAATCTGACGCAAATGGCCCAGATGAAAATTCTTTAGTCATTATCCGGAGCTGCTGCTACCAAGACGGTTCGAAGGTTGACCCTACTTGAATGGGTCCCTCAAAATCTCAATTGGCCCCAGTGAGTATACACTGAAAGTGCCCGTCAACGTGGAGGTTTGCTCACTTGTCTTTTGTGGGTTGATGGGAGCAGGGGTACCAACTCTTTCATTATCATTGACACTGAGACCCTTCAGTGGATTCCAACCTGGAGCCGAGCTCTTGAGGCACAGATCGAGTTCTCCACTGGTCAAAGCGAGGGCAGTGCTTGCCCCGTAGAGGCCAGACAAGCAGTTCCAGGCTGTAGCCATGGTTTGTGCCAAATATGTTTTGTATCCAGACACCAAAGATATCATCCAGAACCACTTAATGTTGAAGCATCCTAAACCTGCAGCAGTTTGGCATCCATTGGCATATTGGTCCAGAGAAAAAATGGGCGTGTCCTGTATATGTCGGGGGACTCCCGACATCCATTGGCATATTGGTCATTTCCCTTGGTTCCAGTTGGGGCGTGGAAGGTCTCCCTGCTCAGCGGATGCCATCAATTCGGCGTATCAACGGACCGCACTCGGCAGGCCGGTTGCTCTTTGTTGCGCGTGTGCGCATCTGCAGATCAGCCCGGGCTGCCCGATGCTGTGTCAATCGTTCTTCTATGCCATCAGGTCAGGTCATGTGAAACATCAGGTCAGGTCAGGTCAGGTCAGGTCAGGCTGCTTGTGAAGTTTGCGAAGTCTACAGGTTGCATAGTGTCCCAGTACCAGTATAGCCGTCGATAAAGGATGTTGACGATTTAAAGGCCTTCAAGGGGCCCTGGTAATGGTATATGTTCCCTAGCCATAACGTCAAACGGGCAGAAACAGACAGTCAGAGAGTTTCTCAGTGATTTTGAGTCGGGAACTGTCAGTCACTTCTGATTTCGAGTCGAACTCTTGTGGTTATTTGTGGTTGTAACATGTTGTGACTGCTTCTCAGCATGAGTTCCCTTCTACCATTGACCAGGACCACACACATTTTGAGCACCAAAGACGCTTTGTTCCTGCTTTGTCTCCCCAGGCTACAGTGCGTAGCTCAGGAAGCTCAGGACAGATAGCACCCGATGGTCAAGCCAAGCCTGCATCCGTTGATTTTCTTTCGGTGACGCAATGACGCTTGCCTCCCAGAAACGTCATTTTGGCGGAATCTGGAAACCCAGACACTGCAGAGCTATTTGGGATTGTGCTTTTTGGATCGTTTTGGATCTTTGATCTGTTCATATCCTTTTCCCTGCAAGAAGTGTTGATGCGCAGCGTTCTTTGCCCTGTGTATCCAGTGTGCTGGTTCAAGAAAAAGATGACGAGCATGTATAGAAGATTGATCCAAGAATCTCCATCCTATTCCAGCCTCCAACCTCCGATGCGATGCATCCACAGTCAGTCAAGAAACAATAAGAAACATCTCCGTGTCACAGACGGTCCCAGAAGCAGTTCCATTCAGTTCCATCCGGTTCAGAGGCTCACTCCGCTCACGCTCAGAGTTCCGCTATGGACAGCGAGTCACCGGTGAAGCCACGGCGAGGCCGGCGTTGAGAGCCCCAGCGCGCGTCGAGTTCCGCCATGGAACGTCCCGTCGTCTCGTCCCGTCCCGTGGTGTTCGTGATGCATGTTGAGATCAGGCGCCATGAAGGCAACAGCCAGTGATGGACCTGATGGATCTGGTTGAGACATGTGACACGCAACTGGGTGTTTTGCCGTTGGTTGGCTTGAACATCGTTGCTCCAAGCCTTCCAAAGACGAACATGGTTAATGCCTGCCTTTAGGATTAGTGCTGGGCGGTTGGCCATCCACGTAACGATGATTCGTGCAGGGAGGGCTCGTAATCTAGAGGATACCCCCCGGGTGTTGTTTAAGGTGATTTCATATTGTTTTTCATTTTCCCTGTGGCTGAATCCCCTTCTGGGGAATCTTGTATAGTTTTTTTCCCGATGCCTTCAGCGCACAAAACAAACCATTCGGTCGCCCCCGGACGTGGTCGGCGTTTTCTGAGAACGCGGACAGACGTAAAAGCTCGATCGGTCGATGGTGTTGTGGTAGTTGTGAGCGGTCACAACGTGCCGACCGTCGGAGGTCGAAAGCGGCGCTTGGAGGCGGCTCAGCCTGAGGGAGTGGACCACCGCGTACGTGGACGAAAGAGGGGCGTTCGTCGTTTAGGTCCGGTGGCGAGAGCAGCACCCGCCGGTTCCTCCGGTGGCATCCCAGGAGAGCTGATGAAGAAAAGCACCACCAATGTTGAGTGGGCTGTCTCCAAGTTGGTCCCCAAAAAGGTAATATGCAGGTGATCCACGAACTGACTGGGTAGATCTGGGTAGCAAGTGATGGTTCTCACCTGTTGGTGCGCAGCATCACTTCAAGTCTAGATGCCGAAGTATATCCTACCTTGCACGGATTGAAATCGTTGGTTTGTATGGATTGAGGAAAGTCGCTGGACACAGCAATAATACAGGAAACGATCTGGATTCTTAAGAGTATGTGTGGAAGGGGTGCATGTCCAAGCAATGGGTGCTTCTTCATACCTCGAGCCCCTAAAACAGTTTGTCGATGACAAACCCAATCATGGACTGGCAACTGGCAGAATTTGGATCGAATGAGCTTGAAAATCATGTCACGTGTGAACATCTGCCTTTTGCTTGTTCTTGCCGGGTGTGGCTAAAACAATGCGGAAAACAATGGAAAAGGAATTTATTGGATAAGTGCTGACATCAAGATCTTAAAGGATAGACACTATAGGCCACACCATTTGCTATTGTCTTTTTCATACCCAACCAGATGTTCGCTACTCAAGCCAATGTTCGCTAGCCAAAAGCTTCACATCACACGGCCGACCGTTCGGGGTTTTTTTCGGAGCCGGAGGCGGAGGCGGAGTCTAAGCGGCCGGACCCGGACCGGGCCCGGATTCTGAGGGAAAGAAATGGAATGGATTGTATAGACCCTATATTGAATATATACCTGGACCCTCCTTTTGGGGTGTCCTGGCTGGACTACCCCACACTACCTATAGGCTTCCAGACAGGGCACCCCTTGGAGGGTCCTGGTATATATATATATATAGATAGATAAGTAAGGTGTGAACATGTGTTGCAGTCGGTGTTGTCGCATTGGGATACAGTTCTGCTCATCCAAAGTACAGGGCACGACTCCGTTGTTCCCTCAGTTCAGCAAGAATTGTACGTTGGACCTGAACTGATGACGAGCTATCACTGACTTGAATTCAAAAAAATGTATCGCTGACATTGTATGCCTACATCTGAGTGACCTCTGAAGTGGTTGAGATGTTTTTAATTGGCTGGGATATTGAGGGAACAGATGTGCGAAGATGTCTTTGGGGTAAAGATTAGGGCCGTGCGGATTTTGGGGCCGAGTCTACGTTCCAGCTTAGCAGATGCGCTTCGTGAGTAGGCGCCCTTGGTGGAGATGTTTTTACTATATATAAAACCTTCTTGTTCTTGTCGATCATGACTTGACTTGTCCCCCTTTGATTTCCAGGTGGAAGAGGTGCCAGAACGATCTCCAGGCAGGAGATGGAGAGGCTTAAAACCAGCTCCTACATGACCTGGTTTTGCTTAAGGTGATTTTGTATGTTGCATCTGGGTGAAGTTCCTTGTGAGGAATATGGTGTTGATTCTGTTTCCAGCTCCCTAAGCAAATCCAAGATGATGGCTATGGCTTGACACATAGAACCAGACATTCAAGTCCAAGGCTGCTGACCTTTCGGATGGACAGAAAGAGGACACACATTCTGTATGGTGTAGAATTGTGTAGAATATATTATGTATAGACCTGGACCCGACTTCAAGTACCCTAGGAAACAGGACATGATCCGAATATATAAACAGGCACGACTGCCTGAAATCCGAGGTAATGACTTGCATGAAGAAGTCGACTCCAAGTATATAAGTGGTTTTCAACGTTCGCCGTAACGTTCTTTTGCTTGCTTCCTTTGCCCTTTCGTCCTCGTTCCGTGGAAGAGCTCCAGTTCCCTGGACGATCGCCGACTCGCAGAAGCCGCCTCCTCGCTGCATCGTCCTCGTGGCCGACTGCGGAAGGCGACGGCGGCGGACGGAGGGGCCGACGTTCGAGAAGCGATGATAAGATACTCTCCACCCTGAGAATCCTTGGGCCCTGCATGGCAGGGGTCGGGCAACCAGGGTTCCGAAGTGTGTTGCTGAAGGGGCCCAGATTCTGAAAAGACAGGACCTGGTGCACCGAACTGGAGGATTGGTATAAGTGACCCAACGGCCTTGCAGACCTGGAACTTGTGACCGATCCGTCACTGGGATCGAACCGTTGGGTCACTGGGATGAACCGTGGGGAAGGTCCGACCGATCCCCCTCACTGTTCAACCGTGGGTCCGTTCGTCTTCCGGTTGGGGCCGATGGATGCGCCATCCAATGAAGGAGTCGGAGCAGATGAAAAGAGAAGGGTGAGTGTTCCGCTCTCCAACGAACACATCACCGTGGGACATGTCCAACATGGACCCTTGCAGGACGAGGAACATCCTTTACGAACAGGATACGAACAGGGTGGTTGGTGTCCACTTCTATGTCACTGAGTCGGAGGGTACATGTACTATCTCAAGATATCTCAAGGAAGTCGTATTGTCCATCCACAGCCATGTGATGGCCGATGCTGCGTTCTTTGGACAGTGACTAAGAGGCTTTTTCGGGAATGGTCTTTGCGTGTTCTTTGCGCCTTTTCAGCAGTACTCGTATGAGGACACAACACTTGAAGTGTGTCAACTTCCTTGTTCCGCATTTGCTTCGTGGTCACATCGGCAGATCGATGGGTCCATGGCCGGCGCGACCGGAGGAGGCCGACGTGCGAGATCCCCTGGAGACGTTGAATGACTTCGTAGCTCCCGAGGCGGAGCCGAGCCGCATCGCCGGGCATGTTCTCCTGCGCCCCCCTGCGGTGGAACGCCAGCGACAAACCCGATGGTTTCCAGGTGTCAACAAAGCTCACTGCGCCTTGATGTGTTCAACAACATCAAGGAGACAGATTCAGCACGATTCATATATTATACCTGGACCCTCCTGTCGGGGTGTCCAATGGACTACCCCACACTACCTATAGTCTTCCATTGGGCACCCCTTTGAGGGTCCTGGTATGATTGAATTCTAGTCCAAAGTCGACAGTGGTTTCTCTCAGACAGAAAACCAACCATGGACTTACTGATCAAAAGCAACCGCTCAGGACGATGCTGAAACACCAACAACAATTGGGAGCGCCAGACATACCAACCAATTGGGACTAGTTGGGACCTGGCGTTGGTGACCAGGCACCTGCTCCACGCCGCCGGCTGCGGAAGGTGCTGGGATGTGGGGGTTACTGTATAAGGTGGCCAGGAAGGCTCCAAAGACGAAATGTTCGATTTTGTGCCGTTGTGTTCCACAACGATCAGATGCAACAGAACTATAATAACAAGTTGCCTGACAAGGCTATAAAAGTCTTGGAGTGCAGCACAAGATGCCTCAGTCCAGATCATTTCCGGGAACCCCAGTCCCAAAAACAGATAAAAACAGTTCTGGTTGTTCCAATCTCGCTTTCAGATCGCCATCACAAGTACGGGACTGGGAAGTTCCAGACTGGGTTTCTGGGACTGGGTTTCCAGGTCGACCGTGCCGCATGTGGATGAGGCGCTTGCTCCAGATGAGACTCCCCACCAAACCGGACCTTCGCCAGAGGCGGATGCAGAGGACCTGCCTGCCGAATGTCTTGCAATAGGTGTTTCATGTTTTTACAAGGTCCAAAAGATAGAGCCACGGTCCAGAGCTGATCTTCACATCTTGGAAGATGAGTTCACTTATTAACCAATACCGTTCTTTCTATTCAGGGTGCGAAAACATGCTACCACAAGTCGAAAACCAAGGCTTGGTTGATTCCTCACCTTGGGGCCGCTTCTTTTGCCGGATCCACAGGATGCCGATCCACTGGAGCGATTGAATGACTTTATAGCTCCAGAGGCGACGTCGCACCGCCATCATGCGTGTGTTGAACGATCACCAACAGAAGTGGGACGTGAGCTGGAATGGCCAGAGACCAGACATGAATCGATTTTGGCTTAAGGGAAGGTCTCCAGGAAACCCGTGGTTTTGGACTGTCTTGGGTGGTTTGGGGATTTGGGAAGAGAAAGCCGTGAAAACCATGGTAGTAACCATGGTTACCTGTAGGTGTTCCCAGCAAAGGATGGCTGCCAGACCCCCCGAGTAGTCCACTGTGGCCATGGCCAGCGATTTGGAGATCTAGTTCAAGCCATCCACCCAGATCCTGATGGTACTAAGTCTACTAAGTGCAATGACCCCCATGTCTCAAATATGTATATATAATATTTATATATGATATCTTCCTCAAAACTCTGTTGCTTGGTTCAAACAACAGGGCTTTTTACATGGAGCTTAATCCAGTCCGCTTCGTGGAAAACGAGACCCACGAGACGTGCCGTTTGCGTCGTCCACGAGACCCACAGGTCGTCCACTGCACGCGGCGGCGATCACTGCGAATTGCTGGTGGGGAAGTCGAACGAGTGGAGGGCCAGTTGTGAGGACCAAATCCCAGTTAGAAACTGGTTTGGGCCAGAGTCTTGGCCACGGGCATAACCCATGCATAACCCGTATTGGATATCATACGAATCATACATATAAGAAGAAAACTAAAACAACTAGAGACTAGAGCTGCTTCAAGTGAAGGCCTGTCAAATTTGGAGACTGTACTAGGTCTCCAAAAGATTGCACTCGGCTGCTTGGGTGGCCGCAGATCTTTCACACTGAAAAACATCGATGAAGATCCGACGGCCACTTCCGCAATGAGATCACATCTGGCCAGGGAAGCAAGCGCGAGCGGCCAACAGCCCAAATCCAGAGCTCTTTGACGAGGCGACGAGTGATGCTTGAAGAAACTGGTGGTAGGCCCTAGTCAGGGTAGGCTAAGAGTTTGGTCAGAATGAAGATGCCACGAAGTACGCCCAAGTGATCAACAGACTTCACATAGAAGAGGAGATCCAGGAAAGCTGCAGAGCAAAACCTATACATAGAGCTCTTAGAGTGGCTGTTTGCATTTTGATATCGGACATGTAGCTATATCCCTTACAGCGTTGTCCATGGTCCAGGCCTAGAATGGTTCTCTCAGAGGCCTAGATCCACATCTATCCACAATCGATGAGAAACATCAGCATCCGCTTTCTACACTCGAAATCATCAATATGACGAGTTCACTACGTGTTGGAAGAAAGACCAGCATGCCATTCTTTGAAAATCACAGGGAGTGGTCTGTTTGCTGTTTGCATTCCAGGTGCCAGAGGAGCCAAGGCCACGGTGTGGAAGTGTTTGCGATCTAAATCCGGCGTATGTTCGCGCGTGGAAAAACGCCGTTATGCAGCGGTTTATGGGATTTTCAGGGGTTCAATCAGGGTCAAGCATCAAACGAAGGGTCAAGAGCTTCAGGCCTCAGACGGCATGGTTTGTCAATCATGTTTTAGGGGTTACCGTACGTTTAGGCCTTGCAAACAAACGTACGGTTCTCAAACATGTTCGTTCGGCTCCATGCCTCGGACATGTTCCTCGCGACCGGACCGAGCACCGGGTGGACCGAGGGCTCGGTCGACCCTGGGACCGAGCACCGGGAGCGCTGGGTTGACCTGGTCTGCGACCGGACGGAGCACCGGTGGACCGAGTGGGTCGTAGCGCCACCAGGGCCGACTGGTCGGCCTCAGTTCCTTCCTTCGCCAGGTCCGTGTCGGAGAACGAAGAGGATGACGAAGCAGCAGAGGATGGGGCACCAAACGTCATGGGGACTAGTCCCAGACACAGCTAGGTTTAGGAGAATTCTGGAATTGATCTTAGTCTCTTTGTCCGGACGGGATTGCTGAACATACACAGCTCAGCGATTGCTCCTGGTGAGGGAAACCACCGGGTTCTTCTCTTCAGAACGGCACAAGATAGGCTCTTCCAGTTTGAGACAATCATTCAGAGCACGTTCTGGGTACCCTTCTCCTCGTCCCAAAGACCGGTCTTTGGAACCAGTGAAGGCCGGTCTGAAGGGTGTGTAAACCGCTCGGCAACCTGCCCAAACATGCAATTTCCCTACCCCCCACGTCCCCCCCCTAGCCATGAGCAAGGGTTTCTGATAGCAAAAAGACACCCTAAATCATATTATACCATGTTATATTGTATTGGCCAACAAGAAATGATGTTCTCCACAGCAATGAAGAACATGTCATCAAATAGGGTAGAAAACATACACAAGAAAGAGAAGCATTGTCCAAACGACCTCCAAGCATCCCCTGTGTGTTTCTCCACTCAAGCATTGGAGTTCCCTCACACGATCGACATAAAATGATGCCTCTCCTCCGAGGAGTTTGCCCGCAGCATCTTGAACAAGACCAGCAAAGCGCCTACGTCAAGGCCTACACGTAAGTTCGTGTTTGATCATGCTCGAGTAGATGATCAAATGGAAAAAAAAACGTGCTGGTAAGAAGATATGTTGGAAATGCTCCTCCGCACCCCATCCCATCCACTCTCAGACAGTTTGCTGTTGTCAGGAATGTTTTGTGATGCTGCATAGCTTGGCCGCAGCCGAAGCTCATTTGATGACCATGACAATGTCTAAAAAGTTTATGCAAGAGGTATCATGGGGGTCATGTATCTTGAGCTCATGCACCCGAAGTTCTCCTCCTCCCCATACCCATGTTCAAGGCTTTTTTCGCACTAATCCAATCTTCTTCTAGTATGTTTTATCGAGCACGGCCCAGATCCGCACAGTGAGACAACGTGAGTGGACTCAAAGGTGTGCTTTCTCGGGCCAAGCCAGTAATCCTACAAATCAATACAAATCATACAATTCCTTGAACCCCCCCCGAGACTCTTCACCATTTGCGCCGATATTCCTCTTGTACAAAGACTTCATTCATCCCTCATGGTCGGGTTCTCAGCGGATCACGAGCGTCTCGGAAACGCGGGCGGATCACTTGACGTTGGACTTGTCGGTGTTGTCGGTTACTTCGTGAATTGGACAGGTTGCATCGTTCATGGTTTTTCGTTGGATATCAAAAGAAGGACTAGACTAGACTAGACTAGACTAGACCATGACCATCATCAAGAAGCAACAGCACAACTACTTGCGTCGTGTTTTGTGTCTTGAAGGGAGCGCCCTTGTTAGGACCATGGTGAGGCAAACTGTTGGTGAGCGGCAGTTTAGTCCGTGTCAGGACTGGAGTCGGCAAGTTCGGTCAGTGAAGTCATGGCGCAATTCCACCTCAGCCATTTTAAGCTTTTGGTATTCTGGTGATAGCCTATGGAAGCCAAGTATTATTCCAATGGATTTCCGCGGCTCTAACAGGTTCCGAAGGAGGTAGATGATAGCTGGCTCTTACATTGAGTCACTCCCCCTCTCCCAGTTCTCACTACTCCCCCTCGCGGGATTTGGGTGTGTCGTAAGAATAGGGAGACCGAAACCAGGGGGTTCTGATCCCCCTGCAAGGTTCGGAGCATAGACCGAAACTCCTTGGGCCAGGCGTGAACCAGTAGCCCCCCGAGCCACGCCACCGTGAATCCCCCCCCCGTGTTCCCCTCGTTAGCCACCGCACTTCGTAGGCGGTGTCCGGTCCGCCGTGTTGGAGCCATCCACAATCACCATCCATCACAAAACACCACGTGTGTCCGGTCCGCCATTGGCTTGAAACAAGGCAGACGTGCACCCTGCCGCCTTCCGCGGACGCTGGGCCATGTGCCTAGAGCTCACGTGGTTCCTCGTTGTCTAGTTGAAGGAGGTTGTTCAAAGGGAACAACAGGTGCAAGTATAGTGATCCCGAAATACCGCGAACTAGAATAAGAGTCTAGTTAACGTTAAATCATGTTAAATCCCACTGACAAAAAAGAGACATGTAAAACTACAAAAGCACGTAAAACTACAAACTCTTCTTTTTTGCGGGGTGGGACACAATGGGAAACAAAGCAACTGGGGGATGACCAGGAAAACAATGGCCAGTTTGGGATGATACCGGTTTGGTTTATACTTATACTGGTTTTGCTTGTTTGGTCATATGATTCACCCGGTTCCTGGGTGAATCCCGTTTTTGTTGCTTCCCGCTCCGCTGTGTTCGCCGCCCTCCATGATACCTGCTCCATCCTGCACGGAGGTGGGTTGATGGCCATCAAGAGTCTAAGACTCACGTTCGGCCCCTCATCTTCTACCTCAGACCTCCGACTTTGGGCCCCCGACCTCTTGCATTTTCGACCTCAGACATCCTCAGACATCCTCAGACCCAAGAGTCTTGGATCATTGTGGATCTGAAAGGCTCAAGAGTCTTGCACACAACACATCACAACACCAAGAGTCTTGCGGGGGCGTCCTGGTCGTGCGCACGCGGTCCTGCGACCGCGAAAGAAGACCAAGTCCTTCAAGTGAGTTGTCAAAGGTCCCCTGTTGTTTTGTGTACGTTCACCGGAGCGGAGTGTTCATCCGTTGCTTCACTCGCTTTTTGGTTCGCTTTTTGGTTCCTACTGGTTGTGTCGAGAGTTGTTGTGGCTTCGTACTCAACAACGGTGTATATATATATATATATATAGACTAGATGTTGAACTGGGCTGTGACAGGGCACCTGATCTCATTGCGAGGTGTCTCTTCTTTTCATCCCCAAAAAGACTAAGAGCTGTTCGTCCATTAGCTCCCCGCCTTGGCTCCAGGTGGGTCCTGGTAGCGGCCCAGGCCGCGGGAAACACACGAGCGGTCCGTGATGAGGTCCGAGTGGCCAGCGAAGGGGAGTCGGAGATCCAGAGCAGCTTGGTCAGAGACGAGAGGAAGAACATGTCGGAGTCGGCTTAATGTTGGGTTTGACCAGCACACCATGGAAACCTGACACTGTGTTTGATTCTCTTTGAGTCTAATCGATGCGGAATTACAACCGTCCACTCAATAAAGTCCTTGGGGAGGGAGGGTTGTGGTTGCCTTCAGTATGTTTTCGAGGAGGAGAGTGGACTCACACAGCACAGGAATGGCATCATGGCGTGGGCTCAAGAGTCCTTTAAATCTATGTAGAGCATGTTACCGTACCGTTTGAAGCTGCAAGCTTTGCGGGCTCTGCAAACTGCTTTCCTTCTGAGACTTGCAGTTGCTGGGCATTCCATCAAGTCTGATCTTCCATTATGGGCTTGCTGGGATCGGGAGGCGAAGGATGAGGCGAAGGTCTTTCACCTACACACTCCAAAGGTGGCAGGCTGTTCTGTTGTCGAGGATTTGAGTGGAATGGTGGGTCGCGATGAAGTCTATTCCCAAGAGGTTTGCTTTTCGTACTCATCAAAGCGGAGCTATGAAAACACCGTGGTAATGGTGAGAGAACCCCGTGCTCATGTTTATTCAATGTACCAGTTCTGCCACCTTGCGCTTGATCCAGGATATAGGTTTATGGTCGGAAAGAGGCAAGGGTTGAAAGGTCAAGCGAACTATCATTTGGCCAGTTCGTTCAGCGAGTGGATCAATGAATGGTACGAAAGTCCACGCTGGGGCAATTATGACATCTACGAAGACTACGAATTCTGCTACTGTCCTTACAACTTGCAAAGTTCTCGGTTAGCTTGCAACAGCGAAGTGGCAGCAAAGTATTGCTATGCAACGGCGGACTTCGAGAAGGCCATGAAGAACATTCATTCTGCGACAATACTTGGAGTGGTTGAAGCGTATCATGAATCGTTTTGCTTGTTTTCAGCTCAGTTGCTGGACTCTCTGCCTGAGCATTGTGACTGTGAAAGCCCAGCATGGAGTTCCTACGTCGAAACAAATGTTTCTCACCGTGACCACTTCAATGGAACCGTTGGGTCGATTTATGACATGCCCAAAGACATCATTCAAAAAGTTGACAGCATGACACAAGAGGACCGTGCGCTCTACAAGGCAGGAGTAGAACGTTTCATAGTAGATATCAACAAGGTTGAGGTACGCTTTGGAAAGAAGATTCTTTGCGAGAGTCAGCAGCTAAAGCTGCAGGCAGCCTGAATTTGGCAGTTGGAATCCCGACGCTTTGCCAACTACAGTACTCTCCAGTTTCCAAAGTTGATCCATGTTGAGCTCACTCAGCTTGGCTGAAGAATGTCTAAAGCCTAGCAGATCGACCGTCAGCACTGGAAAGAAACAAAGTGGCCGTCTCCGTCGATCCCGACGGCTTCCCGGGTACTGTCCTGGAGTGGACCTCTTTGTTGATTGGACAATGGGGCCCCAGTCATACCATGTCATAGCTGTTTTTGGAAGTCATGTCCCATGTTCATCCATTTTCCACGAACGATGTTGGGTCCAGGTAGATGCCGACAAATCTAGTTTAATCCCAGATGGCATGACCCCCCAACTATGTCCATCCTCCCATGTTGCGCAGGGCAATTGCATGTGCAGCCCTGCCCTTGAGGACACTTGGGCCTCGAGGCCAGTGCCGAGCCACTGGTGCTTGTGGTGCCGCCCCTTTCCTGCGCTTTGCACGTGGGATCGAGCTCAGGCTAAAAAGAATAAGACTGACAACATCTGAAAACCAAAGGTGTAAAACATCTCAAACTGCAGCTTTTGTTGAGATCTGTTGAGCCCGAACCACGGACACTGTGACTTGATGAGTGCTAGTTTTCAGATATGAGCAACCACTTTCTTGTCATTCTTTACGACATGCTCTCCGACATCAGTTTTCGCTGGTGAACGAGATTTGCATAAACAAGGTACTTTTTGTGATGACACTGAAGTAGTCTGAAGTAGTCTACTGTGATATGACCTCCTTATATTAATATAATTAGTCTAAACGAGAAATCGGGCCCCCACATAGTAGATAGATGTAGATAGTGTATTTGAGTCTAGCAATGAAAAAATAACCATGTCCGCCGCTCAAACCATTGGGGCACATGAGCGGAAATCCAAACATGCGGTCGACCACAGACGGCGTTAGAAGTTTGAGGAGACACTCCCTGGAGATCCACCGATGGTTACGTGGAGAACGTATGGCAACGTATGGCCCCGATTTCGGATGACCATGAGTTTTCCGAACATCAAAGAGGTGGTGCCATCCACTTCCATGATGATTAAGACCAAAACGATGTTTTGCAGATGTTGCTTTTACATGCAGAGGTCTGCAGATCAAGCCACCTTTCGCCTCATTCAACAATGGCCTTGGAGAGATGGCTTGCAGGCGACTAAGTGGGAGGAACAACATCATGTTTACACCCAGGAAGACTAGCTTGAAACCTGATGGCATGGACTCATGGACCTAGAAGGAAGACTACTGTAGCGGACCCTCCGCGTTCACCAGGGGTTTTCAGGTTCTGTGGATCTCGGACCCAGGGCGTAGAATTGGTTTTTGTATTGTTTGTTACCATCTAAGGCTAAGGAGTTTTGAGATTTGGTTGCGACAGACATCAACAGACTTTCGCAGTGGACT